CTTTTTTACTGGATTGGCCTCCATTACCAAAGTTTCTGATTGTCTCAAAAGTGCATATTTTTTAAGGACCTTGTTAAACAGACAAAGGGAGAGGAGAATTTTATTTGCCTTGTAGTTTGTTACAATTCAACTTGCAGGAGAGAAAAATTAAAAGGTATTTAATTATCCAATTAACTGGGAAGTCCATTAGGATATTAATTTATTAAATATGAGACTTGTTTTTTAGCTCAAAGTTACACGGGAGGCTCTAAGTTGAATTTATTTTTCTCTCTTTGACGTCATATTCTTTATCTTTCAGGGACAAATTTTAATTTTCACAGGCTTTATCTGTCAATTATTTTAATTATATGATACCAGTATGATACAAATGACATTTAATTATTTTTAATTGAAATATCTGAAAATTTTGTTATAAATCACAAGTTTTCAATGAAAAAGAAATAAATAGCTTACGTTGTAATTTTCATCTTATAACAAATTCAAAACAATGGTAAGGATAAAGTTTAAAATACGTGAGGAGCGATTTTATTTTATTCCTCTTCCTTGTTACCATTTGTGTAAATCCCATGAGGATGAGGAAAACCTCAAAGAAATTAGTATATACACATATTTTATTGGAAAATGTATATACTAAAATCTTTTTTTATTCAGTGTATTATCAGTGTATTTATTTCAAACAACTTTTTCTGTTCTTAAGAACAGAATTTTTACCAATTTAATCATTTAATGAATTAACATCAGATGCTTTTTTTAGTTGATGAAGTAAGAAGAGGAAGCGTAATTAAAAGAATTATTTACAGAGAGAAATGTTTTTGCAATCTCGTCGGCGTAGGTAATGCATGAGCTGCGTTGTCCAGCATGGCTAGTTGCCAGGACGATTCACTCAGAGGTTGTAAAGGTGAATGTCAGGGCCAAGTACGCGCGGCATGGCTGCTGTCGCACGCTCCGTTAGCACCATGCATTTTCAATCAAGGAAGCTACTTTCTGCTCCACCAATTCAATTTAAAACAAAAAAATGGCGGAAGTTTGAGAGTGGAAAGTATAAATAAACACACACAGAGAAGACAGTTTTATTTTAACCTTAAAACCACTTTCGCCCGCTTGACAATGCTCGTCTGGCAAATGAGAGGAAATTTTTTTACGGATTTTACTTTGTGAGGATTTTTTGTTGAACGGGAGAGTGCAAATTATATTGCTGCTTGTTGTGTGAAAATGTTTTCCAAAGTTCATAAACCGGTCACGAAAATTAAAGAGAACACCTGACTTTGTAAGTCTGTACAAACACAACAATTTTGCACTTCAATTATGGTCAATTGCGCACGCGGTAACAACGCTGTGTCACTTCTAATTATTATTTTTCACGCGCAAAAGCAACAACCGGCATGAGTTTGAATTAAATACCTCTCGGCAATGAAAAATTCTCTTTGAAACATGTCATTACCGCCCATCAATTCGCACAATGAAAAGTACGTGCCCAGCAATCGATTGTTAACATACGCGCGTGCCAACACTTTTCGCTTCGTTTGTCAGTGAAATAAGTAAAAAAAAAAGGAAGGAGTTACGTAACAAAATCCCCAGACCTCCATGCCCTTGAAATGTAAATAAAAACTCTTGTTACTTACTAAAAAGAAGAAAAAAATTTATCAGCGCGCTGATCTCGTTTTTGTATATTGCGTCTCAGAAGCTCCAAATGACTCTCATTTTAACATCACGCAATGCTAATTTTTTTAAGCAAGTATAACAATTTCTATTGTTTCTGTTCTGTACGCCGTGTTTTATCATTTCAGAGATTGAAAATCGTTAAAATCTTATGACGCTCAACTAAATACTCCAGAACTTGTCACGCCAATGTCATATAGTTATACGCAATAAGTGAATAAATTAGCGCGAGTTGAGAAATGTGTGGTGTAATAAGAGCAATTTTTATGATACAAAACAAGTCAGTTGATTGATGATGTTGTTTGGAATCAGCTTCATCATCTCTATGCTGTTTCCATTGTGAAAAGATCAATCTGCGATTTGGATCGTCCGGTATATGAGGTATGTACAGTATTGTGTGCATAAATAATAAACAACAATACAAAAGAATAATGAATAATTTTTAAAAATGCATAAATTGGATTTTCTGGGAAGAAATACATGTGATTATTGAAAAGTTTAAAGTAATAAAATTCCAGGCCATTCAAGAAACAACAATAAATAAATAAATAATTGACTTTATAAAGAATTTATTAACCATGCGCATTCACTTTAATTCCAAAAGCTCTGTTGGAAATATAAGAATTGCTAAATAAAATCATCAACAAGTATATATTTTGCCTGCTTGCGAGTGTTCTGTAATTATCTCTATTTTAAAGGCGCGCACGTTTTCCTCATTGCAGCGAGCATATTATATAAAATGTATAGAGCCGTGGGAAAACGTGCCTGCGTCTTAATTCCGTCGGCACCTCTGGCGTGGGTGCATGAGTCATATATGCGGAGAGAAGTGAAAAATAGGCGTATATTATTATATTGTGCGCGGCGGCACTTTCTTCGCCCACCAACAGATTTGTTCCGCAAAAAACCCCAGGGGCCAAAATATTCACATATATGTGTTGTTTGCAACAAGTGAACTGTCATTTGATGTGAGTGGGCGAATTGCATCGCGAATTATTTGCAGAATAGAACTCTCAGCGGGTTTTGTTTTCTACGTCGTGAGAGTAGCGTGTGGGCTTTTCGATGCAGGCCGCGTGCTAATTCAACGCCGCGTTCATTGCCTGCAAATGACCGTGCAGACATACGTCCAAACAATCTAGAATGAAAGGAAAATATTCTCAACAATAGTAGCGGCACTTCTAATTCAACTTGTAATAAATTAAACTAAATTTCTATGAATGATCTGGAAAATTTGACGTAGGCTAGTTTCAAAATAATTTGTCATAAAAAATTTTCAATCCCTTAAAAAAGAAAATCGGTGTGCGAAACCAGAACAGCAAAAACCTAGGGATAGGAAAAGTAAGCAATCACCTTCAGTCCTTCAATAATGATAAATAAAAAAATGTATAAATTGCTGTCATCGCTGGTACTAATAATTTTTAAGGTTTTAATACCCTAATTTGATATTTTTTTATCACCTAAAATAACTTCTAAGAACATCAATAATTATATTTATTTTTTCTTCTAAAATCAACTAAGCCTGATAACTTACTGCTCCAATTATTATTAACTATTCCGATCAGTTGCTTAATTTTGCCATCAATAAATCAAACCAGTTTGTGTCGCGAAATTTGTCATATATGCCTGATTTGGCCTCAAATAAATTTCACCTTTTTACTTGCAAATAAATCACCTATATAAATATATGCACTTGTTTAAATCACCTTTTTCCCCAAGCATATAAAACATGTTATTGTTATGACGTGAAAATTAGGCGGTGCACTATTAATAGACAGGGCCAAAATCATATTAGGCCAAAAACGAGAACGAGTGGCACCTTGAGCCGCAAATCCCTCGAACTCTGACCCGCGGAGGCCGAAAGTGAGCGCCGAAAGACGCGCGGTCGCAAAATGCATTGCTCGCAGCTCTTTCATTTCATTATTTACGGCCGCGCGCGCATTGTAATTTTGCGCTCTTTACCGCCGTCATTACCAACACGAGCCTTTGACCCCTTCCGAATAAACTTAGCCAAATTGTAATTCACTTCCAAAACAGGCGTGAAAACTCTTTGTTATCCCGCCTGATTTAGCAACTTTCCAAATCGGTGGTGTTTAATCAGGTTTCACTTACGTTTTTCACACGGTAAAAAGTGCAGAAAGGAAAAACAAACAAAAAATTACATGTTTAAAAAAATTAAGCTATATTATGCTATATATTACATTGAAATTTGTGGATTAAAACTGATTAATATTTCTTGAAAAATTTGGCATGCGTACTTGACCAAACAAAGTATAAAAAAATTACAAAATATTTCGAAATATCTAGTAATTCACAAAAATGTAGTCAGTACAAATTTAATATGGTACAGATGAAAAAAGACTCTTTGTTGAGTATTTCGGTTTGCATCTCCAGGATCAATGTTTGAAAATATATTTTACCATTAGATTAAATTCGTCTCTTTGACACTTTTATTAAATATAATTGTATGCTTCAAAAAGTTATATTAAAAATTCTGAAAACTTCCCTCGTCTAAAAGTTTTGAAAGTTAATTAACATGAAGAGTAGGTAGTCGGTGAGATGTCTTTTTTGGGGTGACAAAGAAAAATGGAAATGTCAGATAATATATGTAATTCCAGAGGAGACCAGCAAAAACTTTTGTTGCGAAATTTAGTCAGACAGACATGTTTTTATATTTGCTGCTGGATGAATTCGCAAAAGGTGCCTTGTGCAACAATTAGAGCTGCTTCTGGTAAACGAATCAGATTTGCCTTTCTTCTGCCGCCGCTACACTACTTTTATTCTCGCATGCAATCATAACACATTTTCGCCGCGGGGACTTGTTGCTTTTTTACAACAATATATACATATGTTGTGCCCGCCAGTGGAAATACAAATTTCTCTCCCGCGCACAGCAGCACAATAAATCACAGCTTGCTCCTTGAGTGAGGTAACAAAACCCTTCACTGAGCTTTGCCCCCGCGGGCCACAAGTGTCCCTTCCAGCTGCTACCAATTTGCTTCAAAATTACGCTCAAACTCATTCTCCGCCTCAAACTCACGCTAATTCTATTTGATAGCCCTTGATATTATTGAAATAAAATGATGCAGTTGAGAAACTTAATGCAGACCTTCATTCGCCTACACAATTTTTGATAAGAACTAATTGTTCGAAGCGATTCATAATTGTTAGAGGATAATTATATGCAGAGCTAGCTATCAACTTTTTGCTGCGCGGCCTGTAATTGTGTATGCGTAAGTTGATAAAAATGGCCAAGGCCATGGAGGTGCAGTACTGTATAATTTTATCGAGTCCTTTTGCAAACGAATTTGGTCATTTGGCTAATAAGAAATAAAAGCGGTTGCAAATTTACCTGATTTATTTATTTAATTCTAGAATTATGCAGTGATCAAAATGTACAAAATTTAAAAATTATGCACTAATTAACATTGTAAGCTTCCGATCCACCGAGCAATCAATGGGATTAGGAAAGCAGTTTAAAATTAAATTCCTAACAAAATAAGTTATAAAGTTTCTCCGGTCTCAACTCAGAACTTGTCTGTTTTTCCTCCCACACTGCAGACACAATTAACATACAATTATCACAGCTGACATGAACTGCAAGTAGTGTTGCCTGTGAGGGTCGAGAATAAAATTGATAAAAGTGTCGTTCATCTGACATGGTTTAGTTTCGTACAGCATTGGAAAGTTTCTTATCAAAAATTTTCTTTCTTTTCCTCGACCCCTTTGATTTGGAATTAAGTAGAGAGATCATTAATAAGTTACTCAAGAAAATTAGCACAATTTAAAACACTCATATAGTGGAAAGTATGGGTTGTCCGAGGAGCAAATCAGAGAGCAAAAGGTCTGTCTTGTTTCGAGATGGCAGCAGAAGAATGAATTCAGCACTACAAGGCACCTTCTCAAAGGTTGGCCCCTGGCCGCAGATCCCTCAGCGTTATCTGATTTGCGTCGCTTTCCTAGCAGCCACCGTTGTTTCTAAAGAAAACATAAATAAAAAAAATATAATCGAATTAAAAATCCAAGTCTCACATGTTGGGGTCAAAGAAAACGTCAGACTGGATGTAGATGAAGTAGACAACGATGAAAGAGAGCAGGAGAAAGACGGATCCGAAGCTGATGACAAAAGCCTCATGGCCATATGAAGGCTTCAGGAAGATGCGCACTTCAAATGACTTCCAAACCGACTCGGTCCAGGTCGAAAACTGTCCAGACTTCCAGTCGTACCCTGCAAGATCACATCAGACATGGGGAATTAATTTATTTTCAAGTAGGATATTTACCTTCAATGTCAAAGGCAGGACTGGAGGCAGCTGAGTAGTTCATGGTTGTCTGGACGCAAACACCCTTGCTAGAATCATCATTTCCTCTCATCCACAGGTACTGATGTGTCTGTTAAGAAACAAGTACATTTTATAAGCTATTTTTTAACGTTTCACTTGTTCATTTTACAATATAACTTTCAAGTTAAGTCAGATTGCAAAAGAAACGAAGCCGTAATTTTTCTGAACAAAACAATTAGTGATTTTTTATAAGCTAACAATATGGAAGCATTTGCTAAACTTAAACTTCTAAAAAAATTCTTCACAATTTGTTTGAAATTTTTTTATCTATATTAAAAAGAATTTATGATATTATTCGACTTTGGCTTACAAGATCAGTTTCGTTGATTTTGCACTTGTCCTTGGTCACGTTGACCTCCTTGCCAGTGAGTAGGGCAACAAGTCTGCCTGTCAACCCGGTGGCAGCGTTTGGACCATTGGTGACTCCGACATACAAAGCTGGGGGGTACTCAAACAGTGTGTAATCATCATTGGTCGCCTGCCTCATCAGGGTGCAGTTGATCGAATTCAGATAGCAGTGCAGCATTTCATCCACCTTCGAATTCAATTAAAATTATAAAAAGAGAAACTCATCTCTATTTAATTATACCATTGAGGAGTTGACCCTGGCTGTTCCCGAGTAGGGCTTTTTGGCCATCAACTCGTAGATGGACCATCCGAGGGCGGTGCTCAGGTCAGCCAGGAAGGTCTGAATCGAGTCAGGGGCAGCAGTGGTGCCGTTCAAGTACGAAAACCCGAGCAACTTTGAGTCATCTAAGATGCTGTGGTAAAAACTGAAAAGAAACAAATTTGATTTGGGTCAGGATTAAGGGAAAAGATCAATTACTTGTTGGTGAAGGACTGGTCGTAGTCTGTGATGGCAACACCTGGCAACTTCGAGTCGGCTTTGACAAAGGACTGCAGAGAGACTGGGGGTAAAGAAGATGCTGAGCTGTCCAGGAACGACACGGGAATTGTTGACTGAAGCTTTTTCATGGCGTTGATGAAAGTGGCAACCTAAGAGCAAAATTTAATTAAGAAAGAAATTTTGAAAATGTCAATTTCACAATGTCTCTGATTTGCACAATTCAATTTAATGTCAAGTCAAAAATTAAATTGCTTTGATCAATTAACAACAGGAACAAAAGTTAAAAAAAAAATATTATGTGACAAATTCTTACATCATTATTGATGTCATTGCCAGCGGTTTTATGGAAAAACATGGGTGCCACTTTGCCACCCGCAGTCCTGTTGATTTGGGACAGCTGGTTCAACTCGATGACCATTCTGATCTTGTCAGTGCCCATCGAAGGCACATTTGCACTTTTCTTGGGGAACCTGATTTTAAAAATTAATGGTATAGTTAATTAAAAGCAACAGGAGTAAAAAAATATACATTTTGTTGTTTATGTCGTACAGGAGTCTAGAGGAGCCAATGTAGTCGTAGGCCTCGCCATTGAACAGCATCAACATGACGTTGCCGTCGGCTTCCTGCAAGTCAGTGTGGGCCAAAAGGTCGTAAGCGGCCAGGGCGGCCACCAGTCCGGCCACAGTGCTCACTGCCCCAGGCGACTCTCCATCAAACATGGAGGTTGTGTCGAGTCTGGCCGCCAAAATTATCACACTCCGGTCCGGCTCGCTTGCTTCCCGAGGGAACAAAGTTGCCCACACGTTGCGATCACCCATTGGGTCACAGTACCGCACTGCAAAATAAAAATAATAATAAATAACAACACTTTATTATGATTTCAACTAACCGACCAAAGAGTACAGAAATAGTAGAAAATTCTTTCAATTTTTATTATTATTATTTTTTAAAGCTAGAAATTTTTTATTTAGAGTCAGCGAGTATCTGATTTTTCAAAATAATAAATATGATTTTATTTTAGACAAATTTAAATGAATTTATAAAAGTATAAGATAATTATTTTATTTAGTGAAAATGTAAAACAATATTTATCTTCGAAACTTAAATAATAAAAATTCAAACTCACTTGGATTGAGGTTGTTGATCATGTTGCTCCTGCGAATACAAGTCTCCGAATCCTTGGCCGCAATCATGAAGGCCTGCATTTCCATGGCGCACAAGGAGCGGCCAGCCATCCCTTCCCTCACCGAATTGTGTTTTGTAAAGCACTATTGTATCAAAAAATTAATCATAAAGCTTCCAAATTACAACGTCAAATATTACGTCTGTAATTTTTTTGATGCTGGTGTCATTGTGGACAAAAAAGATGGGGAAGCCCCAGTCGATGAGCAGCAGCGAGTTGCCCTTGGGGTTCCAAGACTCTTTCTGGCCGCACTGCTGCTCGCTGAAGCTGGACAGCCCCGAGTAGCGGTTTGGACACTGGTCCTCGGGCGAGTACGAGGCCAGCGAACTCTCCTCCAGGTCTGAGCGCAGCAGCACCACGCCGTTGACCTTTGGCGACTCCTTCAGGGCGTCCAGGGTTTGCCTTTTCGGTTGAGATAAAATTCAAACGATGCAATTTGTATTTTGAGGTAAAATTTACCTGGTGAACATGTCTGAAAAGACAACGGCCATGTACTTGTCCTCCGGCGCCTCTTTGACGAGCCAGGCGACGTCTGCCTGGTTGTTCAGAACCTGCAGGACGCCAACATTGCCCGTCCTTTGCGCTGCAAAAAAGAAGAATTCTCGTTCAAGGAAAAAATGAACTTAGAGAGGCAAAAATTTGTATATTTACAGGCGCAGCCGAATTGGTGGGTGCCGTTCATGCGGCGGAAACACGCAGACGTGCCCTCGATGTTGGCGTAAATTCGGTCCTTGGTCCTCGTCGCGTCCGCACCTTTAACCAATCATCATGCAATTATTATCAACAAATAAAAAGAAGCTGCGAGAGATAAGCGCCACACAGGGATGGGCGACCGGGAAAAAATGATTATTTCGCCAAACTGGCTCTCGGCAGCCTATTATCCTCTAAAGTGAATTTTTCAGACTCGAGGCTTTGCATCTTAAATTACGAATATCGATTCTGAAACTCACCTTTGAGCAAAAACGCGGCGGAAAGTAGAAAAACGAGGACGAAATCGAGCCGATGCATCTTGTCGCCTTGTTGTTTTCTGCTGTCAGGTGATTTTGATTCGAGCTGCGCCGGCCTCCGGCAGATGTCTCTGAAAACTACGGTGCCTGCAACGTATGCTTTTTCAGCACATCATCGCCGTGCAGGTTGCATACTTCCAATTTTTCAGATTACCTAAATATATTACAAAAGAAAAAATTTATATTTTATAGAGGTGTCAAATCTTTTGAATAAGGATTGATAGACAGTCAGCAAGACAGGATCAGAAAGGATTAAAAAATTATTTTCCTATAAGTCGCCACGCGCTTTTCCCTCGTTTCTTATTTGAATCACACGCCGGGTACCCTCTCTTCTCTATATACGCACTCTCGGGGTGTAAAATTGAACTGCCAGAGGTCCAGGACGTCTAAGTGTTTTTCTCACCCCCTTCATTTTGGTGTTTCTTTTCATTTCTACCTTTTTTCCCTTATTAAGTGAGTCAGTGAATGATTCCGGACAAAGATCCGAATTAAAATAGTCTTTGTTTGATTCGTTTTCAAATCTGACTTATTTTAATAGGTAATTATGTTTAGAAATAGGATGAGAAAGCCCTTCTTTTTTAGAGTCATTGGCTCCCCCTGCACCCTTACAATTTTGGCTATTTAGCTTTTATATGGTTTTATATTCTTGTTTAAACCATTGTACGTTTGCAGTCTGCGAAAACGAGATGTCAAGCGACCTGAGTTTCTTCGATATGAAGGGCGGCTTTTACGGGGTGGCGACCGATTTTGGCCGGTGGTGGCAGACGGTTCTCGAGGTGCACATTGAGGTCACCCTGCCGCCCAACACCAGGGGCAAGGAGTGCCAGGTGGCGATCACCACCACGCAGCTCTCTGTACTAGTGCGAGGAGAAACGAAAATCAAGGTAATTTTTATAAACATATAATTAATTTCTGTAATTTTTAATACTTTAAAATTTTCTAAAGGGAAAACTGTTTGGGATTGTGCGACCAGACGAGTCTGTCTGGTCCATCGAGGGTGGCGTGATGACCATTCTTCTGGCCAGAAGTGACCACGCCATCAAGGAGGTCATCTGGCCTTCCCTGCTGGCTGATGGATCTTTTGCCCTGGACGCTGTTGCAGTCCATGAAACTAGGAAGAAACTTGATCTTGAGAGGTTCCAACTTGAGGTATACAACATTAAAAAAATAGATAATATATATCTTTAAAAATTACCTACAATTAATATAATATATAAAGGTTAAATTTATGAATTGTATAATTATATTTTCCGATTCACTTAAATTTAGATTTTGTAAAAAATTATTTAACACTCTGATTTTAATCTAAGTAAACTGATTCAACATAAAAATTAAATGAAACCCCTGAAATGTTTATTTCATTTAAAAAAAATCATTCCTATGAATTAATATTCATTAGTCAGTTCTGATAAACATTAGTACTATAGTTAAAGAGTCGATCGAAACTATTTGAGTTTAAGTAAAGACCAGAATAATATTACCTTACAATTTCCATTGATCTCAGCAGATCTCAGGTAAAAACACATAAATTTGCTTAACTTGAAGCAATTTTATTCCAATGACGTGCAACTTGACTTGACTGATTTTAAATTAGAGACAATTTTGTTGGTTGCAGAACCCTGGCTTCAACTTTAGCAACGCAAGACTGGCCAAGTGCTACGACACAGTCAAGCCGCTTCCTACTGAAGATGATCAGTGATGAGTACCAGCATGTGTGTGTTCAATTTTTTTAAATAACTAATATGAATAGTAACACTAAAATAATTTAAATAAAACCCACTAAAATGTAACAAATTGGGATTTTGTTTGAGTTTTCTCGCACACGCAAAAAGTCAATCCAACTTTCATTAAAAGCAGATGCTTTACAAAAAACCAGCCGAAACCGGAATTGTTATCGTTCAGGGGCAATAAATTTTCCCTCGTTTATGGCCGAATTAAAATTGTGTGTGCGTGTCTGGCAGAGGTGAGTTTGTTTAAACAGGGCTCTCCCTGATCAGACAGTCTCGCTTCTACCAAATAATACAGTACAGCGAGTATATTGATAGGCAAAGAATCCACACTAGTGTGTGCGAGCACATATAGTGGCTTCCCTCCCAAGACTCCACATTGCCTCACACATTCTGTCAATCCTCCTAAGAACATGAATGCCATGAATGCAAAAAAAAGTTTGTTTACTTCAGAAAATCGCGAGGAAACCAGCTATCAGAGATTTTTTTGATCAGGCTTGAGTCAGAAGTGAAAACCTATTCCTTCTAATTATAAGATGACGATTTTTTCTATAAGCTGAATTTAAAATTTTGTAGAAGTAAGAATCAATAAAAAGCCGCTAATTGACGATTAAATTCTCAGATATTTCAAGATTATTTTGATAAAGTAGTTATTTACCTAGTTTTTTTTTTTTTTTTTTTTTTAGCAAATTCAGTTATTTTTTTTATTTTTTTTTTATTTTGTGAAAATAAATTTGCAATTATTTTATTAAAACTTCCGATAATTTTCAAATTTTATAATAAACAAAGTGTTTTTACCTGGAGTCTATACAATTAAAAAAAAAAAACATTTTAGTGGTTTTAGTCTAGCAAGCCATTCACTTTGCATTTTTGTTTTGCGGGGGGTTGCATACTTTTCTTTTAGAACGTTTTATGCATGTAGTCTATTATTTATTAACAAAAAAGTTGAGTGGATTTTGGCGCTAAAAGTTTACAGTTTCTTAATGATTCAATCTAGCTATCAATTAAAATTTTTATGAAATTGCAAACTGACACTTTAAATTATGTTTCAGTTTTTGCTACGCCATATTTAAGCACAAAGAAATTTTTTATTGCCGTATCGATTATTTCATTTGGCGTGAAAGAGTAATGCAACAATATGTCGGGTGGCACGATTGCCCGAATAAATCACACTCGTCGTCTCTTATCTGGCGCGTGCATAAAGAGCGAATTTTATTTTCTCTCCGCGGTCGGGCGCCGCGAGGTGCCAAATATTGATTAAAGGCCCACGGCGCTGCTTTTTCTCATCGCACTGCGTTCGCACGTGATGAGAACGACTTTCTTTCTTTCTCTGCCGTGTGTGTGGCAGTCTTGTGATGGAAAATGGGCTTTGTTCCTTCGTGTAACTTCCCACACTGCCAACAAATAAAAAAGCACTTTCCTGCAACCGATCAGCCGATATGTCCTAGAATTGGAAACTGCAAATTGAATTTCGCTGTCCTTCCTTTGGCCCACTCAAGGAAACAAGAGGAAATTAGGTTGGGTGAAATTTGAGCTTGGAAATTATATTTTATACCTCCATTATATATTCATTTGATAAAAAATTCATTCGATAAAAAATTAATTAGAAATACATTTTTTCTTTATTTCAGAAGACAGGTGACAGGTGCGCCGGAAAAGTATTAAAAATTTTTAATTGTAGGAACTACATCTTAAAAAACGTGCTTTGATGATCTTCAAAATATACAAAGTTTAAATAATACGAAGATTTCTGTTTGTGATGAATTTTCAAAAATTATTCTTTATTTCCTCATACTTTTTTGTAATTTTAACTTATTCCAAATTAGAGTTTTCTAGTTCTTTCATTTATAAACCAGTTATGAACTTTTTTTGCATTATTGTTTCATATCTTTAGTTGCAAAGTGTCTTTATGACTTAAAAGTATTATTAATACTGTTCAATTTGAGCAACTTTGATCAAACTTGATGACCATTTAAAGGTTTGAATACACTTCCTTGAAAATTTTAGGTCAAAGTTTGTTTGTAGTTCCGAAATGAAACTAACGGAAACTAAATCAAAGTGTATCTTGAATTGCATCTGGACTGACGTTAGACCCTTTTTCTGCCAAGAGGAAGGACAGATTGATTGTAAGAGATAAGGCGCGGAAGTGAATTTGCGATTCGGGAAAAAGAGCGAGCAGATTTGGAAGGGAGAGGGGGAGGCGCATGCGGCGGCGGCGGCGCTCTCTGGGTGTCGCCTGAGGCCGTGCGAGTTCCGCGGCACAGCTGCAATCCGCTCGAGCTGGCCCGCCCGAAGAGACCATGCTGCTGAGGCCTCCCTCCGCCCCGGTAAATAATACTTACCTTTGCCAAATCGATTTAAAATTTGCGCCAACCGAAAAGAAAGGGCTGGTTTTTTTTCGCAATTTATACATTTTCCGCTCTCGCAATATTTTTGCGCCAAGAGCGTATTATATTTTTATATTTTTAAATTTTGCTTGCTGTTTACAAATGCAGCCGGCGCCTGCTGCTTGTTTGTTTTTTACACTCTAGTGTTGTACATCTGCATTGTTTGCTCGGAGAACGCAGCGTGGGGCAAAAGAAAAAAAAACACTACGTTTTACGTAACGACTCTGCAGCGGTTCCTGTTTTGCTCTCCAGCTTTTATTTTTTTCTCTCGATCTTTTTTCGTATGAAACTTTTTTCTCTGTTTTTCCGCGTATACAAAAACTTTCAGGAACTGGAGAAAAGTAATTGCTAGCCGAAAGTAAAAAGCACCAGAAACTGTAATCACACTAATTGTAGGCACAACGCCCCCTTGCCAAGTCGCTTGTTTAAGGGTGGCGTGTGAATTACTGCACACGCCTCTCACGTTTCACGGAAACAAAGCTCATCACGAAAGTATGTTCCCTCCCTACTTTGCATTAGCAAAGGCGGAAACGGTCCGCCAAAATAAATCAAAACTTTTTGCGGAAGGAAAGTTTGTTTGCACCTAATTAGAATAAATTAGGCTTTTTACTAAAAAAATAATGAGAGAGATCCAAAAGACTAAAGAAAGTAGCTGAGTGTTACAAAAAATTGGATTGAAAAAGGCACAAAATTTCTGAACAATATATAATTTCTGTGCCTTGTTTAAATCTGTTTTCTTATCAATAGCCTGAGTATTTTCACCGGCTAATTAAATTTAAAATGTGATTTCATCCATTCAAGTTTATTCTGAAAATTAATCTTAGTACTATAAATTTTAATACTTTTGAATAGTTAAATTTTATTTATTTTTATTATTTTAACCACTTCACAGCAATTATAAATTAATCAGCTTTTCCCCTTCACACTTTGGCAATTGCCAAGTAATTTCTAAGTAAGGGCTAATTTTAGCCGTACCATTTTACGAATAACCGACTATGTCTAGCAATAAATAACTTATTCTGACCAAAATGCTATTAATAATCTATTTAACTTTCAAATAAAATCACATTTATATTTACTATTTACATTGTAGAAAAGGCGTTATAAAAAATTGGGCAACCGGCCAAAATCAAGATTGAGATAATTCTGAATACTCCTCTAAATAAATTAATTAAAAATGAATCGCAAGGTTGCAATCAAAAAGGACCTGTTAGTGAAACTGAAAAATCAAAGGATTTTTTTTTGTTTCTGAAAAGGTTTAGGGTTGTCCTTCAAATTGGACAAAGTGGTGAAAGAGAGGACGCAGCAGTATGTAATGTTTTATTTAGGACGGTGGCCGTTAATTAGAATGCAAACAGCGGCGTGAATGGCTCATCTGCATCACAGAGCACGTGTTCGCCAGCGATGTGCCCCGGCCGCGGCGTGATTATTCTATCTGTTTTCGCCGCTTTTGTGCGCTGCTCAGTCTGCAAACTCCCTACGGCCCTTGTACTTTTTGCCGCCGCTCGACTCCCGCCAACAACCTGCCACACCAAAATCGATAAAGTAATAGAGAGAAAGAGACCTGAAAACTAGAGCCTCCTCCTCTCATTATCCGCCCGCTAACGAGCCGCTCTTTAAACTTCAAAGTGCTCAGAGTGAAAATTTTTTCATCCCATTAATTTAATTAAACCAGCGATTAAAAATGTTTGAAAAAGAATCTCGTTTGTGGAATAATGTCACAAGTTTGTGACTGCAAGAGTACAGAAATTCGGCGCCTAGGTACAAAACCCCAGAGACCACCACACACCCTTTTAGCTTGTAAAAACAAACTCATGTGTGTGTGCGAGCGCTGTTTGCCCGCTGGGGTTGAATTTGGCGGCGGCGAAATCGCATTTTGCTCTAAGAGCTCTGCAGCAGCAGGAAAATTTAAATGCACGCCAGGTTCTCTGCTGGAACAGGATTATACCAAATACCTCTTTTTTCTACGAAAACGCAATTATCTTTTCTCTTTCACTGTGAAGCTTGATGAAAATGAACTGCGCAAAAAAGAGGAAAAGCAAAAATATGACGGGCAGATGCAAAAAAAAAAAAAACACATATCGCGTGTATTTCGCTGATTGGCATAAGTATTGATTCACAGAAAATCGGAGCAAGCCGCTCTCCTTTCACCCAATGTCTGCAAAACATTAAACAATGGCAAAGTAATAATCAATTGTGCTGAGGTATAGAACAAATCAATGTTTATTGCAGTTCAGGAATAAAGTTTTTTAAGTAGATATAAACTTTGAAGTTTAGGGACTGACGTTATGAACCACAATAGTTACATTTGTTATTAAAAAAAGTCAAACTGTGTGTGAAATTTGAGAAACCATTGGAAACCATTAAGTTCGGAAATTAACGTTTCTTGGCTGTTAAAAATATAAAAAAATGGTTATTTGAAAAGTTTAAAGATCAAAATGCTACGCGGTTATGGGTTCATAAGATATCATTTTATACCTTAAGAGTCAGAAAGATCGATTTCTTGCCTAAAATTTGTAGAAAACCAGAACTTTTTATCTGAAAAATTGCTTTTTTTAATATTTTTTTCAGGATTAGTAAATTATTTGACACTTCCTAATCCTTATTCCTTATTTTAAGCCTTTACAAAAAATCTTAAATTATATAGTTTTAGGTGCATAGTGGATTAAGGATTGGGTCACAGAAAGGGTTGCGTGAATCACTTTTGTTTTTGATAAAAAAAAAGACGTCACCATAATTTTCTCTGACGTTTTGAGCTTAGAATGTATTATTATTGTGCACCGGTTGATTCCAGTGTCGACAGCAAGTATATAAGAAAAAAAGGTGTGCGTGTTGGCAGTGAATTTGAGAGGCCGTTGATTAAGGCGGCGCGGACAATAAATCAAATTAAGGCTGTTGTTCAATTGACGCGTGTAAAACACTCGGTTATTGATTTTGCGCCGGCCAGCTTCGCCCGCCGCCGCACCCTTGCAGGTAATTAACGAATCGCACACGCAAATTAGTCGCGCTGCAGATGAGTTTCTGCCTCGCGTGCCTTTATTAACAACAACCCTCGCAAAGGAAACAAACTTCCGCCCGAATGAGTCTCCATTATTTCTGCATCCTTTTCTTTCCTTTCATTCTCACTCGGCGCAAAATTCGAACCTTTAATTTCCCAGGGGGCTTTTGCTGCAGGAATTTCACGCTCCAGTTTCATTTCTGGATGAAAAAAAAAATCGAAACAGCCCTCGCTGTAGGAATGAATTTGGGGCACTGGTTTAATTAAATTTGATAATGCGACTGGTGGCTGAATTTTTATCTTATAATGCAAAACAGTATAAAAAAATGGCCGTTTTTGGCCAGTCACTTGTTTCATTCAATTTAAAATAAAAATTTCTAGAATAGTATCAATAAAATCAAAAGTGTTAAAAAAAATTTGACAATTTAGTTAAATAATCTAAACATATATTTTTACACAAGGCTGAAAACAGAAATTATTCATTTATACTCCAATATATCTTAAATTTTTAACGATTTAACTTGCAAAATAAGCACTGTTGGATTTTTTTTTTAAATTCATTAAAAAACCAATGGCAATTTTTGACAGAAGACCATTAAAATTCGGACTAACGAGCAAAGAGCAATTATTTCGTCTGCGGATTTTAACGAGGTGCGCGAATCCGATTCTCGCTGGTCAGGGTTTGTTGCACACGAGAGGCCACACGGACAGAATGAGTTTTCAAGTGAAAAACTTTATCCCCTCTCTCGTTGCGCCGCGGATATAAGAAGGAGCAAAGAAAGAAAAGAAATGAGAGAAGACTGTTAATTAGAGCGCAGACATACAGCATCTCTGTGTGACAAACGGTGGCGGGTCAAGGCTGTGCCATATTCCTCTGGGAATCATTGCAACGTGTGTGTTTTGCTTTTCCTGCACATACGCGGCCTCGTTTCCATAATTCTGCAACGCCGGCGGCATATCAAACAACGGCTCAAAATGTCGTCTTGCACAAATGCATTTCTTTGTTTATTTTGTTTACTTACTACCTATAAATTTTCCAAGGAAGATAATTCTCCTTTTATTAATTTTTCCTTTTTTTAGCTAATAAACACTCCCTGCATGTGTTTTATTTTTTTAGATTAATTATATTCATTTCTAATTATAATTTTGGTGTCTGATTTATGAACTAAATAATTAGATTTCTTAATATATAATTTAACATGAAATTCTGAGACTGAGCATGAAACACCAATGTTTAAAAAAAGAATTTGAATTCAAAAATTGATTAACTTCTGATCAAAACTTTCAAATTCGTTCAAAACTCACACGAAGCAATGAAAGAATTCCATTTTTTGACGTCATGAAATTTCATTCAAAGCTTTTATACGTTAATCCTGAAAATTAAATTTCAATCTTCTGTAAAAGAAAAGAATCTTTTGATTACTATTTGAATTTCAGACTCTAAAATTAGTCAGTTAAACACTGGTTTTGATGTGCTCGGCCATTGAGAGGGCGCGTGTGGCAATAAAGCGTTGTTGTCACAGCACGAGACGCGCTACCAAGTTTGTTGTTCCGCCGATCTCTCTCGTTTGCATACATCGAATATTGCACGCGAATTGACAAAAGGAGGTCGCCTGCCGCCCTCTTGACAGTCCGACTATACAAATGCGGGACACAAATCAAGCGCGTGTGTTTTGCTCTTTGGCATTCAACGGCGGTCCGCGCACGCACCGCACGCGCGTTTGATTGCCGAGGGAGCAGATAAAAAATAAATAAACTCCACGGGCAACAAAGTTGATAACTTGGGCTTATCAGCCTGCAACCCTCTCTCCCACGTACCGAATCACTTACTAGCACACCCAATTTGGTTTTCATTGCAAAACTTTCCAAGTTTGATTTTAGATTTTGGTAAAATTACTAGAAAATTTAAATTTGAATTAATGTTGCTTTTAAGAACTTTTTGACAACCAGAAGCAATTTAGAACTCGCCTTTGAAATTGGCAGTCGACTTCTTTTATTTTGAAAAATTAAGCTTTTGAAAGATTTCCCAAAGATTTCCCATTTTTACAACCTTCAAAATCCAATAAAAATACTTCAAATGACCTGCTTTAAATATTAAAATGCTCCAGATTTTTCACATATAAATGTTTTTAATTATAAAATCTCGGAAATTTGATTCCAATGGCACCTATCATCAGCTATAAAAATATAATAAGTTGCTTCATTGCACTGCATGACACTGCGTTTCTACTGATTGCCTATTGAAAATAAGATAACCGCATTATTTGTTGCAATAAATAATGCCAAATTAAAATAAATAATAAAACAAATAATGACAGCCAATTTTGTCAAATTAAAATTGGATTTGATTTTTGCAAAAGTGGACGAATTTGTAAATGTGTGCGGTCGATAAGTTAACCGCAGCAGCAATTAGGGGTGGTGGAAGGGTGCATGCAAGTGGATTTGGCGCGTGAATTATTAATACTTGTTGTGGGGTTGCTGCAGGCTCGTTGGCGATGACACCGGAGGGAGCAGCGGTGCCGGCGGAGTTGCACGGGGTAGTGCAGTCTGCGCCCCTGCGGCGGCTGCGCCACCCCCAGGAGGAGAGTCCATTGTGGGGGTTGGCGTGCGGCGCGGTTGGGGGCTCGCTGGCCCTCGCGCTCAGCCTGCCGCTGCTCGCCGCCTTCCTCCTCCTCCTCCCTGTCGCGCTCATCCTCAGGGCTCTTGTTCTCCGCTGCTGGCCCTCCAGCCCTCACGATGACGACGACAAAAACATCTACAGAGGTATGTATTTAGATACGGTGTTAAAAGCATCAATTTAAATAATGTCATTAAAAATTGCTTGTTATTCTTGAAATTGACTTAAGCCCACTGAAAGAAATTTTTTCATTTCGGCTTTTTATATTTTGTTCAAATACCTTTTTAGCCTAAGAATTTTCCAGTTTTATGTAAAAGTTGTTTTAAGGCAAGTATATGGTTCTCCGATTTGTTTTTGCATTGAATTGCATTATAAATTAAAATCAATTGAAGTTGTTAATAGTTTGTTAAAGTATTTGTGTTTGTAATTTTTGTTTAATTAAATATTAAGATAAAGGTTTTTTAATTGTACATTATATTATAATTTCATTTAATTATCTTCTTAAAAACTCGTACCAATAACCTCATGGTCCAAAGAAGATTTTGGCTAGACTCAAAAGTGTCTATCTACTTTAAGAAAGTCTTCAAAATTAAGCGTTTAGTAATTTGCAAAGTGGGTATGTAAGAAAGTGGAGTTTGACGCCGTAGAAAGGCAAAATTAATTATGCACTTTGGAGTGACAAAGGCGCTGCAAACTGAGTTGGGTAATCAAACTTTGAAAGCACTTTGTTCTCGACGCAAAATAGACACGCGCCAATCTATTATTTATTCGCGCCGAGCTGGAGCTCGACAATAAAATTACTCGCGAGTTCTTTGGGAGGCTTCCAGCGAGAGAGAAAAGAAGGGCCACGCGCGAAACGTGTTTCTAAAAATAGGCAAGTCTATTTTCACAGGGAGGCTGCGGTGAAAACAAAACGCAGACCGGTCCAAATATTTTGATTTGGAAACAGTTTCTAAAAATTTGCAAACTTCAGTATAAATATTATGATTATTTTCAAGTGTGCTGCGCCTCTATTTATCGCTATTTATACCTAGAGTGCCGGTCATTAGCATCAAAGCCTCTCTTTAGCACCGGAATGTAATTTTCTTAATGGGACCAGATGCTTTATATTTATTTGACAAAATAATTTCGCTCTCCCTTTGCTATTTGCTTGGGGGACATTTCAAACTGGAGCGCCCGCCGCTGTCAACCACCCCGTGCATGAGCACCCAACCGCTCATAACTTTGCGGAAAAATGGAAACGACGGCGGACAAACTCATCAAAAGTTTTGCTCGTCCCGGCGCGTATCAAGTTGAAAGGGTTGAAAAAATAACAGACCCGAATGCTGAGAGTAATGGAAATGGCCCAGAGGAAAACGACTGTTGGCGAGAGCAGAGAAATTGCCAAATGAAGTGCTGCTGCGTCCAGCTTTTTCCGTTACTGGCCCATAAAAAATGAAATAAATAATGTGCACTTTATTGTTGGTTACTCGTTTGTCCGCTTGGAAAGGTGGGAAAGGTCGAGGCTTTGATTTAAACCTACTAATAACTTTGAAGTGGATAATTTAGAAAATCAACTCTCCTTTACTTCTGTTTTTAAAAGTTACAATAGGATTAATTTTTTTATATACCAAATAATTATTTGTGTATGAATACTTTTTAGTTTTTTACATTATTTTGTAGAGGCCATTTCCGTTGAGAGATTATATCGTAAGTTTTTATTAATCTCGAGAACTAAATATTTGACATAAAACATCACCTCTATCGAATTATTTATCCAAAATTTTCCAAATTGGAATCAAATCAATTAAATTTTCCACTAAATTGCGGGAAAAATTAAAAAAAAATTAAATTAAATTTAAATCTATCTCCTAATAAAATATATGGTTCCACATTATTTGTTAAATCAAATTTTAGTAACCTAAATATTTGATAAGGCTCATTAAAATTTAATTTCAAATCATGTTTATTAAATTATCACCGGTCATTCTCTGCCCAAATACATCATCCATAAATTCAATATTTCATCGGTTTTAAGAGAGAGAATTAAATTAAAAAATACAAATGACAGAGAACAAGGAAAACAACGAAACAAGCAACTACAATTTTTAATTTAAAACTATAGCAATACGATTTAAATTTTAAAAAAAGATCTAGAAGTGGCGCTGAATTTTCTACAATATTTTCAATAATTTGAAACAGAGTTGAAACTACCGAAATCAATTGAATTTTTAATATATAACCACAATCACTTACAGCCAGAATAAACAATGGTTTATTCATTTATTATTATTTACATATTTACTATAGGGAAAACTTTGGTGTCCCGTTGCATGAATAAATAAATATTGGAGTTAAGATATGTACTTTAAAAATTCAGAATTTAATTGCAAGTTGATTAATTTCACCCTAATAATGCGAGTGAATTTTCAGATTTTGGGGAGCCAGAGCCTCTTCGGGGCAACGATGAGCGGTGGCTGGGCGGGCAGGACGCCATCAGCCACACGGTTTTGGTTTTCGACGCGGGTCTGTCATGCGGTCACCTGCAGGAACTTGTGACCGCCCGCGTGCTGACCCGCTACCCTCGCCTCTCCTGCCGCCTTGTGCCGAACCCAGGACCGAAAAACGCTTCTCACTGCTGGCGCTCCGTCGACCCCGTCTTCATCGAACAGCATGTCTTTGAGGCGCCCAACTGGACCGGCGGTTCTGAGGAGAATCTACAGGTAGCTCTTTTTGCTCTCATAAAACTGACCACAGGAAATAAGATCCCCAAGCAACACCGTGCCCCTCAAAACAGGCTTTTCAAGCAAAGCAATTGAAAGTTGAAAATTGATATGTACTATAATTCCTTTTATCAACAGAACTAAAGAATTTCACGATTGAGGGTTGATTCATGGTGGTTTGAATTTAAAGTTGACTTTTCCTCGATGGGTTTTAGAACAAAACTTGTACAAAATTTAAATTTTATTTTTCCTACTATACAAATTTTTCTGAGAAAATTAATAATGATATAAGAACTAAAGAAGTTACACTGACTGAAGATTTTGTTCATAACCTCTATTGCAAATTGAATGGAATAATTCCAAGCATCTAATTCAGAATTAATTCATAAAATTGTGCAAAATTTAAATTTCCTATGCATCAGTTTAATTTATAACATTTAATTTTTTATTAAATTTTTATTTAACAAATTCTTGAGTATAAAAAATCCATCAAAATTATGTAAAATTTCAACATATATTATTTATATAATTGTTGAAAATTTTAATTTGTTACAACTTAAATTGGAAAAATATTCTGAAAGTTTTGATGGTTTTCATTAATTGTTGATTTTTCAAATTTGTGCGTAAAAATAAAGAAACTAAACAAGCTGATTTCAAATTCATTTGTAAATTCGTAAATTTAGAAAATATTCATAGCAAAATAATATTTATTTTGAAATTAAACAATTAATATTGTAACTGTTCTGACAGAGGTATGTGGAGGGACTGTTGGAGACGCCACTGGATGCGGAGAAGCCTCCTTGGGAATTGCACGTTTTGAGCGCGTACGGTCGTCACGGGGACACGGCGGTGGTGCTGCGCGTGCACCAGTGCCTGGCGGACGGCATGGCACTGGTCAGAGTGCTTTGCCACGCCCTCTCGGACACCAGGGTGCTGCACGTGCCGCAGAAGCCACACTTTGGAGGCCTCACGTTCTCGGTGAATGCGGTCAGGGCGCTGCTTGTTGGTCCGGCCACACTGCTTGCCTGGTTCCTGCTGGCCAGGAATGCGCCCAGACGCTCCGTTGTTGCCACCGTCGCCGCCAGGGCCGCCCAACCCTGGCCCACCATCACCATCAGCGCCGATGTTGACCTCGAAAGCCAACAGGTACATTCAATTTTGTGTGATGAAATATTTCATAATTACGTCTGCTTTTCATTATTCCAATTTAATTATTTCACAAGTTCCCTAGAATCTTGATTTTTCTACTTTATTTAAATTTTGTTTCCAATCTTGTAGTCTTTTTTATGAACAAAAAGATTATGAAATCGATTGGAAACTTAATAATATATTTATTTTCTAATTTATTTTTATTATTTCTTCAGCAATATTCTATATTTTTTTTATTTTATTTATTGAATTTTGATATCAATTTTCTGATTATAATGAGAATGATGGAAATCTTTGGCATAATATTCGTGCCGCGGATTTTGGCATTGTCTATCTTGAACGGCCCTTAAAATTGGGCGGCTTGAATGAATTACAGAGTAGATTATTTTTGTTGGTCTTTGTTGCGCAGGAGGAACAGACGACGCAGTTGAAAGTGAAGAGGTACTCGTTGTCCTGGTCTGCGGGCATCGCCCTTCACAAAGTGGTGCGCATCAAGCACGTGACCAGGGCGACGGTGAACGAGGTTCTCTTGGCCGGAGTGGCTGGGGCGATTCGTGCCTTACTGCAAGGGTGCGGCGTCAGGCACCCGCCAGATCTCAAGGTCACTGAACTCTATTCTCATTTTGCTACGCTAACTTGCAATGCAAGCAAGCGTAGTTAAAAATTTCATCCTTTTATTTGTAGTAATTGACCAAATTTTGGTGCAGGTCATGGGAAAACTGCGCTTTTGTTCTTCTTGCCAAAAAAGTCCACTCTTTTGTAAGCGATAGCAAAAAATTAAAATAAAAATATTTTATTTAATACTTGAAAAATTAATCACAGTTTCTTAAAGAGGTCAATTTTTCCTTCAAATTTTATTAAACTCATTTAACAGGCATTGCTCATGATTTTTTTTTCACTTGCAGATTGTGGTGCCCGTTGACCTGCGTTCGGACGCGCTGTGTCCTGAGGCGCATCCCCGACTGGGCTCAAAGGTTGCGCCTGTGGTGATGGCTCTGCCGTCAGGTGTTGAGGGCTCCATCCCAAGATTGTGGGCCGCCCGCAAGATCATGGCTGACCTTAAGACTTCAGCCGCCCCCGCCATTAGCTACCTCGGCTCTGCTGCCCTCATGAAAGTGCTTCCTTCCCAATGGGCCAGAAAGGTGTGATGGCTGCAAAATCTCATTAATACAATTAAACCACCATATTTTAATTAAAAAAAGCAAAAATGCACAGATACAATTTTCATTGTTTTAATATTAAATTTAAATTGTTGATTAAGAATTACTTTTTAAAGTAAAAATCTAAGTTTTTTCAACTCTTGAATGTTAATTTTTAACTTTCAATGTTATTTTAAATAGATGTCCCATTTATCAATATTTTCTTGTCAACTTAACATTTTATTTATATTTTATTCTGTGAAGTGTAAAATTATTTGTTTTTTCTTCTCTCTTTAGTTGCTGCAAGAGGTGCAAAGCAACACTTCGCTCCAGTTCTCGTCCCTTCCTGGCCCGCCGGCCACAGTACTGGTCGGTGGCCACCCCCTCAAGGCAGTCTACACCATCCTGCCCGCACCCTCTTGCTCAGGCCTCGCCATATCCGTATTCACCTACGCAGACCAGGTCTACGTGACCGCCCTCTCTGAGAAGAGTTGCCAAATTTTGACTAAGGAGCTGCTCCAGTACCTAAACCATGAGGTGCGTGACTTGATAATCTCTGACAGTTTTTATTTCTTAATTTTTTTTATGTTCTGAATGAAATTGACCTAGTTATTACAATTCTAGCTCTTGATATTTAATTGCTTTTGTAAAACTTTTAAGATTCTTATTTCTATAAAACCTTTGCTATTGATTTTTCCTGAATTCTTGCCTTATTTTTTATTTATTTATGAAAAATATTGAAGTTGGCAAATAATATGTTGTACAAGAAAAATTAAATTTAAAATGTAGACTTTCAACCTACAAATAAAGTCAAATTCCAATGAAGATCCATTTCAGATTGAGTGCATGTGGAACCTACTGATGTATCGAAGGGCACCTGGCGAGGGCCGACCGGCTAACGTGGTGTTCAAAATGACTGACGCTACCTCTCCAGTGGAAGAGGTATGCAACTTTTGATTACTTTATCGTCATATTAAACCTATTTTTTTTCTTCTAAAATTATAGTTGCAAGCAAGACTGCACGAGGTGCAGGGTGAGGTGGCGTCGGTGAGCAGCACCCTGAGGAGCAAATCAGAACACCCTGAAGACCAGGACTCGCCTGTGGCGGACAAGAAGGAAGAGGAACTGACTGACAAACTGGACAAGCTCAAGTCTGAATTCACCCAGCTGCTGCAGGAAGTGAGGCGCAGGAAGTCTCTCTTGGGCGATCCTGGCTCTGCGTCTTTTTTCGAGGTTTGCCCCTTTCTTATAAGAAGAGATTCGTCTAAACTAATTCGTTGCGTAAAAACTAAAAGTTTTGGTGAACTAAAATTAGGGATTATAATTGATTTTCTGATTTGGTAAAGGAAAAATTCAATGAAAGCAAAAATTAAAATAATAATATTCAGGAGTCAAATTATTTGAAAAAATCGAAGTTATTTTAGGTTATGTTGTTCTCTGATTTCTGGAGACCTTCAAAATTTCTACTAATTCCACAATTTGTCACGTCATTTCTTAGATGTTTTTGTTATTAATTAAATCACATTAATTGCGGGATTTTACAGCAATTAATTGCATAATTGATACAAATAAACTAAAATAATATAAAAGATTTTGGTATTATCTTTTAATTAATAAATTAAGTGGAGTTCTCATTTCTGTTTGTTTTTCAGGACGAAGAGATGGGTGGTGAGTTGTGGAGACCCCGGCGGCGCTCCGCAATCTCCTTTGGCAGCATCCCTGGCCTGCTCGGCGTGCCAAACTCGAGGCCCTTGTCCTCGGCCAGCCCCGACACTAGTCCCCCCACCAGCCCAGAACTACCGCGCTGGGAGAAAGCTCTGTGATCTTTTCGACCCACTCTTATTATATGATATTATATAATCAACGAGACACAATGCATACAATAATTTTTAAGAGAACGAGTGAGAGGTGCTATACCCGTTTAAAAAGTCTTGATATATGTATGAAAGAAAAACGCTGGACGACCTTTCCATAGGTTTAGACTATAAATTGATTCAAGAGTAAACATTTTTGCGGGTAAAATGTGAATATTGTTGTGGTTGGAAAGGATCTAATTAACTAATAGATTTTGTGATATAAAACAAATAAAGCAAAAAGCCCTTTTGTCTGGCATAAAAAAATTAATCGCAATTCACTCAACATTCTTATGTGTATTTGAAAATTTGTAAGTTTCTAGTCAAAAGATAGATTGTGGGGAAACACTTCTTAAGAGAAAATCTTATCTAATTTCTTGATAATATTTGACCAGAAAGATTTTTCTGCTCTAAATTTGTATTGAAAGTAATCATTGTAAAAAAAATAGCCTTTGAAGTGAAATTTATAACACGATTCCTTGTTACTATTTTATTTGCACAATTAATTTGGCATAATTTAAATTTTCTCTCTTGGAAGTAGTGTTTCCTTGCTTCTCAAAGCCTTCATTTAAAAATTGAATTTACTGAAATTGAATCATTCCTTCTACTTTTAGCAATAAATGCAATGCATTTTTAACAAACTTTAGGAAAAATTTAAAAAAAAGGTCTTTTATGATTATTATCTCAAAAAAGCACACACTTTGAACCAATTTTTGTATCCAAATTTGCAATAATGTAATCGAAGGTTTTGGAGAAAAAAAACACCTAAAATTTTGAATCATTCTAGTGCACAAATACAATAATTATTCTGTATCTCCTCACAATATAAATGACTTTGCGTCTTATTTGTGGTATCAGTGCCTTTAGAGTTTCCTCCACCGTCATCGAAATAAAATTGAAAATTAAATAAACCATAAACTAAATAAAAAACTGCATATTGCTTTTAGTTTATGAAATGAAGCAAACCTTTTTTTAAAGTTCCACCTTAAAATAAAAAATAAAAATGAAATTATTGATAAAAATCCTAAAGTTAGTATTTTTAATATTTCAATAATTTTTTTATGAGAGTGTAGTCGTGCGTCAGAAATGTAGCAGGAGAGGGTGCTGTTTTGGAAGCTGGACGTGATTAGTTTGCAGAAAAGTTTTGCTTGTGCTGGACAACAATAATAATTCGTGGCCGGGAGCAAAAGTAAAGTGCCGAGCGGCGCAGTCTGTCGGTTTGCATGGCAATTAGAAGACCGGCCGAGGGTCAGCCCCGTAAGTTCAACTGCGACGACGAGACACGTGTCCGGCCGTTGCGTGAACAAACGGACCCTCGGCCGTAAAATTGAGACCAAGGAGCAGCTAGGCCTGCAAGCTGCCGCTTTTCTGCTGACGCGCCGACTTAAGTGCGATACTTGCAATTTATTCACATGCGGTGCGTCACAAAACCCGAGATCTGCTGACGCGGCCAAATTCATCATCGCCTTAATTACAAAATCAAGGCAGCACTTGGTTTACAATATTTCGACTTCCCTCTATACTATTGGAAGAGGGAGTTCTGATTACAGGAATGAGAGCTTTTCTTTTTATCACTTAAGATGCAACACTTCCAGCTTGCGACCCACAACAAATAATGAAAAAATTTATTTATTTTGTTAGTGTTACTTACTTGAAATGATAATAATAAAATAAAAATAATAATTTAAATATTTAAAGTAAATTAAAACAGAAAAAACATCATCAGTTATGAAATTAATAAACCATAAAATATTTTGCTATATTATATTAATAGAAATATTTTTAGAAATGCAAGTATTTAGGAAAGCATCTAAGGAGGATTTAATGTTAATGTTATTTAAAAGTTAATTTAAAGATAGAAAAATTAGCGTTGTATATTTAAAGAAACCGATAATTTTTTTAATTAAATTATTTGATTATATTTTGTGCGCGTCATTGCAATTGAGTTATATTTAAATTTCAACAATTTATCGTAACCATCTTTCCTTTTTAAATGTAAAGAGCACATAATTTGAAACTATTTAAGATTTTCAGGCATTTAATTGATAAGAAAGAAGATAAATTTAAAATTTTAACACAAAATAGAATGTGAAGTTCAATTGTAAATTGGAAAAAAGGCATCCAAATCTACTTCAGCATTTGTTGAAATTAGCCTTAATTTGTAATATTGGTACGTAAAAATTAAAATAAATAAACGTTAAAATTGCACATAGGCTGGAGATAAATGGAAAAGTAAATGCAAATCAGAATCTGGGAAATTCTGCTTCTTTCGTGATGTTAAAAAAAATATACATATATTGTTTCGTCATTTTAGAATTGAAACTTTTTCAATATCTTCATCGTTTTTTTAACTTGTCTTCACGAGTTTTATAAAACAGGTTATTTGTTAATTATTTTTGTTTTTCAATAATTGTATTTTAATTTTTAATCTATAAACTGTGAAAATCCAAGCTTAAGCCAAGATAACAATCTGCATTAATTAAAAATCATTAAAAATAAGCATTTTGAATTTTTTAACAAAGCATGTGATTTTTTTTTTTTTATTTCATAGTAAGTTTCTTTTTGTAGGATTGATTTCTTTTAAAATTTTTCCTTAAAACATAATTATCTAAAGATGCTTAAAATACACCTCAATTTAATGAGGGTAAAAGTCAACAGAGGTTTATCTGAAATTGATGATGGTCTGGAAGACACACACGCCATAATCCGCGATGAGCTGATAAGCGTCGTCTGCAAGCAGAGAGAACAAAGCGTGCCGATATCGGCGGTCAAGCCACAATTAGGGTGCGTGTAAAAGTTGATTGCGCTTTGTTAGGCGTGACCACGCTCGGCACCAAGCGACACCTCCGACCGCAACAATGGCGACACGCATAATCTTATTTCCAAACAGGGGCGCGCAATTGCAGCAGAGCTAGGGCCGTGTCGGGACGAGAGGTTCAAGGGCCGCCGGGGCCCATTGTGTCGACCGGCGAATATTCAATAGCGCTACATGCTCGGGTGGAGCCGCAGACTGATGATTCAGCAGCAGTCAAAGGAGAGAAGAGCCGGATTCGCCCTCTCCATATCTCTACTCGACGACAAGAAGACTTTTTAACAAAAAGCTGCTTGATCGCCCCTGCTTTTATTCTGTGTCGCGCGCACCTCACGTCTTCGCGGTCGCCCCAAATCGATTCGCAGGTGTTGGCACGCTGCAATGTGATGCTATTCGCTCCGACAGAATTCTGATTCCAGCACGACAGCCAAAAACAAGCTTATTCCAAAATTAGTTTTTTTTTATTATGTGTAGGATTGTATGGATAATAATGTTATAAAAATTAGGGTGAGATATTTTTTTTTGTCAATTAGATGAAAAGATGCCACTTCATATTTAATTTTTTTTTATCTAAATTAAAATTTGATTTATTCGTTTTAATTTTTTTTTAAATTATTGTAATAAATTTGAGTAAAAAATTTGTAGATTGATGAAATTAAAAATAAAATAAAATAAACAATTAAATAATGTGTATTTTTCACCTCTATCAGCTTTATAAAACGCCTCATCTAAACTGTGAAATTTTTTATTTATGGTATATCATAATGTTTTAACCAATGAATGAAGAACGCATTTTCTGCAGGTGGAATTGTTTGTGAGATTAAGAACGAATGTGAACGAATGGAAAAAAAACACATTTTTTTGTAATAATGAATTGAAAATTATATTCGTGATAATATTTCTCCGTAAAGCGAAGTTCAAAAGTGGCGTTTTACATTTCGGCGTGCGCCTGGGTGGTTCGAGTATCAGAGGGCCCGAGTATAATGATTTAAATCTGTGCGTTTAATGCCGCGCGGCCGTGTTTAATAATAATGGCGTGCGCATTGCTCCGTCCCATTGTTTCGGCGGTGCGGCGCACACAACAGTGGGAGCAGCAGTTAAATTAATATTTCCGCTTTAGTTTGGCTGGATGGCGGCGGCGGGTAGCAGAGCAGAGTGCTGGTAAATGCGGCCCATAAATTACCATCCCTCTGACTTGTGTCACTTGCAGATCTTTCAGTGCGCGGCCAAAAACACACACACTCGTTCGCAAACCGGCAGGCGCTCCCTCTCGGCTTAAATGTTCCCCATTCGTCTAGATCTGTGGCCCCGCGACGACCGTTTAATAAAAGTGCCACCGCAAAAAAACTCGTAGTCTTCAGTCTATTTTTCAACCCTAATTGTTATATACTCGTAGGTTTTGTGTCTCGTTTTTATTTTAGGAACTTTTGAGGGTGGCCAAAACCTCGTCAATTTGACCAAAGATGGTTAAAAATATTTTTAACTACATTTAATGGTACTTTTACAATTTCCCCCCCCCCCCCCCCCCAGATAAAATGTCAATTTTCCATTTTGAATACAATACATTTTTAATTAAAATTTTCTGTACGTTGAGTATCCCATTTTCATAATTTAATTTTTAATTTTCATTTAACAATAAGTAAGCATCACCGGGATAATCAAGGAAAAATTATTATCCGTTAGAATTCTAGGGCGACACAAGAATTTGGCACCAACCTTCATTCAAATCGGGGTGTGTGTCTCATCTGGGAAACATACTTTGCAAGGACAATGTCCACTATTTTTTAATTAATTATAATTATTATAAAATATAATTGAAGATTTTGAAATTCAGAGTGTTTAATAAACTACATAGGCCAGTGCGGATCAGTAAAAATAATAATAATTTATTTATAATGATTTGCAAATTTAAAGATTGAAGTTATAGATATATATTCTTTTAATTATAAGCATTTTTTCTTTCAGAATGAGCTCGTGAGTTTAAGTGAGTTTTTTACTACAAAATAAATTGCTTGCTAATTCTCTCATTGTTGTGCTATTTTCCAAATATCCTTTTTGACCTTGTTGTGAGATAATAAAAGAATTGAATTGAATAATAAAAAACACAAATTGATTAAAAGTGACAAGCCCGTATTTAACACAGGAGCAACTTTCAAACTGATGTACTTTTCACCTTGTGAAGGATATTGTGCCTGAAAGCAACCCCGACTGATGAATGTGGTGAACAAAACTGCGTATGCCTGCAATTTTCTCTTGACTTCTTTTTGTTCTTTTGAGATGCAAATGCGCGTTGTGTAAAAAAAGAAGCACACGAAACCGGACGGCGGCAATCTGCGTGACGGGCGAAGACAGGAATCGTGACGAGAAGTCGCGCAGGGGGTGGGTGGGTGGGTGGACAGACGGGGTGGATCTATCGACGAGAGGTGCTCTCACGCCGCAGGCACTTTTATTGATTCGAAATGGACACTTTGCTTCTCGGCCTGCAGCGAACGTCGCTGCCTGGCTCTCACCCTCATGAAGAGACCTCTTATCTTAGCAATTCCGCTCCACTGGGCTGGAAGCGGAATCATGTCTCGATTTACACTGATACCCCCGCGTCCCATCATCAAGCAGCCCGCCCGCAATACTTCGTCAAATCTAATTCGCATTTTTGCTCCATACGCGCGCCGCGCGTTTTCCTCTTTCTTCTTCTTTGCCAATCAGCGACTTGTAAAGCCGCCGCCGGCGTGCGCGGATTATTCCAGAAAGAGAGCTTGTTCCATCGCAAAACTTTTCCCAACCGCAACTTATCAATCAACAAACGAACACGTTTGCAATTCTTCAATTTCTCCATCAAAAGTCGTCAAAACTGATCACTTCTCAAGAATTTTCAAATGAATCATTAAATTTGAAGCACAAAAATTGGAAAAATTGAGCAAGAATTCAACCAAACCTAGAAAACAAATATCTATTTTAAATGATCCAATTTAAAAAAAAAATATATTGACATGACATTGAATGATGTGTCTTTGGGCAGAGAATTCTGAGTGATAAAATTAAAATATTAATTTTATTCAAACTAAAGCTTTTCTAATACTCAACTTGCTGTTTTCTTCCATCCTTCAAACAATGAGCATTGCTGGACAACTTAAATTCCGTAAATTGAGATACTGCTGAAGGATTATTATTTGCTTAAAAATTTATTTTCCAAAAAAATTGTAGTCAATCAAGGAATAATATGATCCAATGTGTTTTTCATAATGGCTATACTGGTAGATTTTAGTTAAATTTAAAAGTGAACTAAAATCAAATTTTTCTATTGCAAACGTTGCAAAAATTTCTTTAATAAATAAAATATTCCATACCACACATATCATAATAATATAAAAAAAACGGAAAAATTTTGATTTAAAAAGAAAACATATTTTCACAGATATATTTCTTTTCTTAAGAATTTAAGCAATTAATTGAATAATTGTCAATTTTAAGCCGTTTTTGAGACATAGTTAATGTAGTCCCTTCATATTAAAAAATGCTATTTTATTGTTTCTTATTCTTTTTATCACGATTGAATAATTCTTGTGCGCTTCCATTATGATTTTGAGTTCTTTTAGCAATCAACATCCAAGTAAATTTTAATTCAAAGGTTCCCCAAGTGGCCAAAAATTTCTGCAGTTTTTCTATATGTGAACATATTTGTCAAAAAATTTATTTAACAAGTGTTGAGATCGTTGTATAATGGGATCTAAAGTGAAGTGTGAAGGTTGTTTACTAAATTCGGGAAAACAGTGTAAAACAAACGTAGAATAAAAAATTTCAACTTGAGCCTCTTGTTGGCGCAGGTGCTGGGTGTGTGGATAATTTTCAATGAGAGGGGTCGTCGATGGGCCGCACTGATGGATTTAATGAAGTTAAATTCCCCCTGGAATCAAGTGCGGCGGCACCTGCCCTGTTCAAATCTTGGTGTTGCGTCACCGGGCAAACAGGCAAAGCCAGGCTGGAGCAAATTCTATTAGGCCGAGACCAGTGAGTCGAACGGCAATCAGTAAAATTCGCACGCTGTGATCACAAAGTATGTGTTTGTTTGTTCAAGTCGCTCTATCGTGATTGTGTCAACAACGAGGCGAGAGAGGAAGCTGGCAAAAAAAAAGTGAAATTCCGCCGAAAGAGGGAATAAAGAACAAAGCGAGAGAGCGGCTAAATGTTGTCAGGGGTGACAGATTCTCGTCGTGAAAAGGCGCTGCTTGTGATGGGCGAAAATTGCTGATGAGGGTTTTGACTAATGAGGCTGCATAACCCCATCAATTAATCCCCGCTCTCTCGCGAGCAGAGTGTCCGTCGGCAGAGGGAGGCGGGCAGGCAGATTTCGCGTGAAAGAGACAGCCCTGCCGCAAAATGGAAATCGGCCCCCGTCAAAAGGAGGATTCTCGCGCGTTTCTTGCTGGCCCGCAAATCCCGGTTTGCGAGAGTTGTAATCAGCAGGCGAAGCGAGAGGGCCACAAAACTTTGATTTGAACTGCGCTGCTCACAAAACACATTTATCCTGGGCAACAGAACGCGGTGGCGCCGCAGCTTACGGGCTTATCAAATTGGAAATGAGCAGCGAGACCGAAACTGAGAAGAGCGAGACTCGCAGCGGCGTGACACCAACAGCTGCTCGCCACAAATTATGGTACAACAATGCGTGCCTCTCACATGCTTAATATATTTCAAAGCTAAATCTGCCAACAAAAATTATAATCAAGTACAATTTTTGGAAATTTTCTGATTCTAGGAATTTTTTAATTTTTCTTAAATTCAATTTTTATTTCACCTCAATATTTTTATTCAAATTTGGATCCTGATAAATCTTAACAGGACTGAATCTTGACTTTTTGTTAACTGTACAGAATTGAACAGGTTTAGCATCGTCTTGTTTGCTTAAAATTTGCCATAAAAAAGCAAGGTAAAAAAGCAGGATCTAGTTATTGCAGGCCTCTAATTTAAAGTAAGCGCCAAATAATATTAAAAACGTAAAACGTCATTTCTATTTTCCGATTTTTTTCTTGAAGACATGCTGATAACCAGGTCACAATCGACAGGTGACCTCTTTGACCTGCAACTTTCTTGTGACATTCTCAATGCGACAAACTTCTTTTAGCCAAATAAACGTCCATCGTACATCATTCAAGTTGTTGAAGATAAGAAACAAAAGGCAAGTTTTTATTTCAAATAATTTTTGTGCAATGAAATTATCTTTTCAATCTCTCTGCGCGGAGATGAGAGTTTGTCGGACTGGAAGGATCTCTCTCTCTCTCTAGCAGATGGATTTGCCGCGTCAGCAAGAAACGGAATTAATAATGCAAGCGACTATAGGTATAATAAAGCGATTTGGGTTGGAGCTGCATCTCTAGCTCGGGCCAGAGATTGATGGCGAGCACGTGCCCCTAATAAAACGACCCCGAGAGGACAAACATGCAACCCTCCGGTGTCGGTTCGACGCAGAATAAATCATGGTTAAGGAGCGAGACGCGCCGAGCTCAGAATTAATCAGGGGTCAAAAAATGAGACGAGCGTCGTTTTATCGAACAATGTCCACAGAGTTGTATTTATTTTATTTATATTATTATTCCATACATGCACTCATACATAGCATCACTTTCTTTTTTCATAATTGAAACCGAGTTGTTTCTTGTGGGTTTTTCTCGTGTGTTTGTCGTCGTAATTCAACAACAACAACTACAGATCGCATTTTTTTATTATTATCATTTACACAAAGTGTGGTAGCGTCGTCTCTTGTTTTTTTTGGTACAACAATAATTGCTTCGCAGAGCGCTTATTAGTTTTCTTCTCGTTCGTCATTTGTAATTATTAAGTTTATGTACATACACGTAACAGCACACAGAAATACTTTCTCTTTTCGTCATCTGCTTCTTCGCGCCGTCTTTTCCTTTCCTACCTTAAACGCTAGACTCGGAGGATAGGAAAACGCAAAGGGCCAAGACGCCTTCGTGGGGCGGCAACAACAATAACAGTTAGCTTTTTCCTTAATTGTAACGGGGGCGGGGGGCTGGGGGGTGATAAAAGCTTTGAGAAATAATCAACAAGGACTGCGCTGGGTCGATGGTCAAATTCGCTAGAGGCCTTCCTTACTTATGAATTAATCTGCTGGCGAGACGTCGGTTTATTTATTTTTTCATTGCAAATTCGCGCAAAATTGGGTGTACAGAAGGGTGTGAATGTGTGTGAGTAAAAAAGAGAACTACATTTTCCGACTGATTTTAGACCTTTGTTATGGAGATGCTTCATCGAGACCGCAATCACTGAACAATTATTATATATATTTATATATCTTTTTAATGAGAAACTATTGGTTGGATCGAGAGAGATGTGCTGAGAAAATTCGCAGCCACTACAAATTCGCTCTCACTTGGCAGCGTTTTCTGCCACTGCCTTCTTTCTTATGCAACCGAGTGTGTGTATGTGTGTGTGTGTGCGTGAGAGTTGAATGTTTATGTTTGTATACAAACAATGCGCGAACATGTAAAATCTCTTACGATGAATATAGATTTGAAGTAAGTTTCTCTCACAAACGAAAGGGAGCGAGCTAGCTTTTTACTCATCCGTCACTTTTTCGTATTATTTTCAGTAAGAAAACTTTGAAAATATTGTATATTATATCGTAATGTATTTATCTGCGTAGTATAATCATAATTTATGTAATAATAATTGTGTGAGAGAGATTGTGTATGTGTGTTGTTTTGCCACAAATATATTTCATAGTACAATAATAATGTTTTTCCTCTTCGCATCCCTTTTAATTTACATATTATTATCGCTTATTGCTATGCCTTAATTATTGCGTACACAATAAATATACACGGGTTCAAAACTGCCTTTTCACTATTTTTGTTTTCACGAAATTCAACTTTTTCTCTCAACAGAGTGTTGGCGAAATAGATTTTAACACTCTCGCATGGGCCTCAAAATTAAACGTTTGCAACTGATTTTCTTTTTTTTCTTCTTAATTTTCTTCACCTGCATGGCCCGAGGAGGGGACTTTTTAAACTCTTCCCTTACGTCGACGTTTAATTAGTTTTAGTTTTAAACATTCATTATGAAAAGAGATCTCACGAAATGATTTCGGGGAGAATTAAATGAATTAAGAATTTGAAGTGGAACCGAAAATTCCTTTTCGACTGGCTTGCTATGCGCTTTTTCGAACTCGAAGCTCTACCGAGAAAGTCAAATTTAATCTCAAATTTAAGGCTGCATCTTTACTCTCAGGGTTGCGGTTGATTGGGCGAAGAAATTTCACTCAATATGTCACATGTATATATTTGAATAGGGAGTCCCGGGGAAGAAAACGGGGGCGTGGAAGGAACTCGTCGTTTTATATGGAACTGAAGTATATCCGGTCTGCCTTGCAGCTTACAGATTTATGCACACACTCTATAAATTCATTGGCTATTTTTCGTCTGTTGTTGCAATACGTATATTGTGTGAGAGTAATAGAGAATTATAACGGATTCTGCTTCTTGGATCGATTTCTTTTCAACTAATTTTTATACTCATCATCTCAGTGGAGCTAGACTCTGCGTCTCTTATTACAATATGTTATTTAAATAATTTATATATTTTATTTACACAGTCTTTTTAAAAAGTGCCATTTTACAAATCAATGGTTTTACTTCTTTTTTACTCGTAATCATAAAATCTCCTATGTCAGTCCAATGCAGTGTGTTTGTGTGTAATCAGAATAGGAAATTTATTTGATGAGAGTGTTTATATTTTTTTTTTTTCTTTTTAATTCCAGATGCTTCTTGAAAAAAAATTAAATGTAAGGTCAAACTCACAAGATTAAGAAATGGGAAAAGTGGGAGAGGAGGAGAAGGAAGTGAGAGTATAGGAGAGAGAAATTTTCGCTTCTTACTTAAATCGCGATGCGTTGTGATATGTTGTTATGATTTTAGTTTAATTTTACTCGTTAGCTTTGAATTAGCAAATTTCTGGTTATTCTCGTCGCGTCTTATTTGAATTAGAGTCGATTTTCTGCAGCAGTATAATTGCTCTCGTTACAACAATATAGTCAGACCAGGAGCTCACACGTATAACATGATGCGTGCTTTTCTTCGTTTTGTTATAAGTATATTGCAAAATATCATGTTATTACTTTCCATGTGGTTAGAGATTAATTATGTAGAAAGTGAAAGAGAGACAAAGAGAGTGGTGGAATTTTCGTATTTTCCTGAATCCGTAGAAATATGTCAAGGTGAGAAAGAGAGAGGGTGTTTCAATATATCCTTGTAGAAACCCTGTGAGCAATATTCTCATGCGCGGTCGTTTGGTACATTTTCTTTCCATAGCAGCACTCGGAACCAAGGAAAAAGAAACCAAGGTGTTGGTCGTCGATTAGCAGAGGAAACCGGAGCCACTTCGGCTGCAAAGGCCTCCTTTAAATCTCACTACGAATGTCGTTTGAATTTGGTGTTTCGCTTACAAATTTTTTTTTCTTTAGTTTCAAATCAGAGGCTCTTTGGCAGTCAAACGCGGCTGCAGCTTCCACGGACGCTAGATTCGAAATTACACGCGTTCCCTACGCCCAATGCTACTCGTGTATCACATAGTGGCATTTAGCAGCCTGCCATGCTTTTGTGTCTGTTGTGACCTGGCTACTAAAACTGCAGGGAGTCGAGATGAGCAGAAAAGAAGGGAAAGCAGAATTTGAGTGAGTGTGAAATATATTGATTGCCCTTGTGCCATCATCAATCAGCAAAGTCGATTTAAGTTCCATCAGTTGTGAGAAAAGTCTTTCTTTGCAGTTCTCGGCCTGCGCTCTTTTTTCGTTTTATTTTTTCCCCCGTTAGTTAATTTAGATCAGAGTACAATATTTAAAAAGGGGAAGGCACCAAAAAATATCGTGAAACTGAATCAGTTTTTTTTATTCTTTGCAGAGCATTTCTCTCAAATAGCCTCTTGAGTGTTTTTATCCAACTGAAAATTTTTCTTTTACATCAAAGTGGAGTAATTGCTATTTGTTTCTCTTCGCGTCTCACAAAATATATATTTTTTATATATATTATATCTTTCGACCGTTTTTAAACACGAGAGAGATGAGCCTTTTCGTACGCGGTTTTTATTTTTTGTGTCTTAAGTATTTACACACGGGTTCACTTTTGCGTTTTGAGTAAGTTAGTTAAGACAGCAGACAGACAGATTACACAGCAAGAGATTTGTGCATTTTTTTTTCCTTTCTTAACGTTATAATCGGTTAGGTGTGAGTGTGTGTGTGTGTTTATGTTAATTTTCCGCCGCAGGTTAACTCGCGTCATTCCCAGCATTTTTGTGGTTTTTCATTTAGAACACGAGAGTTCAGCGTTTGGGTCTAACAAAAGGAAACGAGATAGGGCTGAGAGACGAGATCTTGTTTTGTCGAGATTGAATGTAAGGGAGGAAGGAGAAAGCTCAACTCATTTCACGATATGTGTTTGTTTTTAGAGTGGCTAACTAAGAAACCAGGATGAGCGATGGTGGACAAACTATTACATATTTTGCAACTAATCATCGGGGCGTTAATTCACGTTTGAATCAAGTCTTTGCATTTTTATATCAGACTTTCGTGTCCATTATAAAGAAAGTATATTTATGTTGCATTAAATTACGATTATTGATTGATTGCGTGTGAGTGAGAGTAAAAAATCTTAAAATCTGCTCGCTGCAACTAAATTGAAATCCGCAGTAGTTTCACTTTGAAGGCTGCTCTCGTTAAAATATCCTAAAATTTTCTCGTTTGCTACGCATATTAATTATACAACCTGGAATACTCTAGTTTCAAACTATCTCATCTTTTGTTAAATCTCCAAGAAAATACACAGAGAGTATCAGTAAAAGTAGTACCCTAGATTTTTGGTTTACTCATAGGAAACAACGCAAAAAAAACAAATCAGCCTGATTTTTCTTCCACTTTTATCAGTAAACGATGGAAATTGACTTGGTGTGACGCAAAAATAATTAACTCGGATCTTGATCAATAAATATTTATATAACTCTTTTTTTCTAATTAAAAAATTCACGAGATCAGTTCGAATCGGAAAATTCGACTTAAAACAAGAACATCCGCTCGCTCTATAATGCTTTGGGTTCACACAGCATCAAACTCCTTGGTAAATATTACAATAAAATTTATTATGTTAAGTATGGCTGCTTTGCGTGTGATGCTCTAGCTGCTATTACGAAATTGTTGTAATTGAACGCGCGTGTTTTTGTCTTTCTTTTTTTTTGCATTCATTAAAAGTGTGAAAAAGTGTTTCGTGTGTGTGTGAGTGTGTGGGGGGTGAGTTAAGTGCCTTGTCGTCTCATCTCGCCAATCGAATTGTCGCAATAAATCCTCGCTTTGACAACAACTCGTCTTAATTCATTACAATTATGTACAATAATACACAACAATGCGTTAAGTGTTATTTCCTTATGAATATATAGACGCACTCACACTTAATTAATAAACCTCTCGCTTAATGTAATAATTATATTTAACTTTCACGTTTGGTTTTCGGGCAGAAATAAATTTCCATTTGCTCTGTCGTCGTCAAAAAACAGTAATCGTGTTTCTGTGTGTGTGTGGTTGGCGAATATATTTATAATTATACACATCTTGACAAGTGGAGGGGGAACGTTGAAAAAGATTATTCTCACTTTCCCGGCGGCACGCAAACATTTTCCGCCCGTCTCTCTATTTTTATAAATATTTAAATTTTAGTCATTTTCTTTCCATTTTATTTTAAAAAGTGTAATAACGATAGTGTTTTGTTTTCCTCTTAGATTTTTCTCCACACATTATTATTGCTTTTATATCAGTCGTTACAGATGAAAATTTCCTCCAACCAATAGCAGAGTACGAACGAGTATAACTGTACATAATAATTTATATATTGTAGTTTTTTTTTCGCATTATACAACAATGAATTAACAACTCAACGCAGAAACAACGAAACGAGTCAGTGAGTGTGAGAGTGAGTTAAAAACAACTAACTGCGCGCGTACACATCAGTGAAAAAGTATTTAGTCCCTGATTAATAATTCTTCTCGCAAATTCAACAACTGTGATCCCAACATCGGGAAATTCGATCGCCTAACTAATCGCGCGCGACTCCGAACTCGCTATTGCTCTAATTATTTTCCTGCTCGCGGCACGAAGTCCTAGAAATTTCTTTTTAACCTTAACAACATATTGTCAGTGTGTGTGTGTGTATTTGTGTTTTAGCAAAACGTTTCTTGTATAAAAAATCAAATGTGTGTCAGTGAATGATGCGGGTACCTTTTCTGCAACGTTTTTGGCCTCAAAGGACGAAACTTTGGCGAGAAAAATGTGGGAAAAAAATTAGTTGCTGTGTGCACTAAACACGACTGAACTGCACTCTTTAAAAAAGAAACAACGAGGAACTCAATCTCTTAACTTTTTCTCAGCAAAGTGGTTTTTGGAAACAACTTGCAAAGTAATTAGTTTTTTTCTTCTTCTTTCCTCTCAACTCTATTTAATAATTATTTACTCGTAACACTTAACACTAATCTTACAATTGCTCGCTTACTTTTAGCCAACGCGTCCGCGGACTATGCACAAAACGCTCAACGGAACACACACAGATTTTCCTGTCGTATTTACACTTAGATGATATACATTACTATGCTATACTGCGCTGCTGGGGGTATGTTTTATGTGTCGGGGGGATCAAGAGTCAAAAAGGAATCTCGCTCAACCACATGTGCGCGAAAGAGAACAAAAGAAATATTATTCCGCTTCAGCAACAACACCTCGAGACACTAGCGTACAATAATTATCATAGAGCAGGCACCCAATTTAATTATTTCGCCGCACGTCTCTTTTAATTCTCGCTTAATTGGTACATATTTAATTGCTGCGTGTGTGTGTGACTTGGGTTGCACATACTACTTATACTTCTTGCTTCTCGCAGCGCGTTTTGCAATCGTCCGCTTATACTCATCCCCATATATGTATAGTACATTAATTGTAGTAATAATAATTACACTTACAAGTTATTGATCACTTTTTGAAAGTTAACCGCGTTTCGTCAGTGTGTGTGTGTCTGTTTTTTTCTTTTAATTCTGTTTCTTTCTGTTTAATATTTCAATAATAACTCTCGGTCGCACAATTTAGGCACAAAGACCTAACCAACTACAATTATTTGGTAGCATCTCTCAGTACCAATCAAATTTGGAACGAAATCCGGAACGCTGCCGGCGAACAGACAAACCTTAATAGTTAATACTTAACAAGTACATAGTGTGTGTGTGTGTGTTTATTTGTGTGTCTGTGTGTGTAGTGTGAGAGAATGAGTGTGTGATCGACAAACAAAACAAAAAAAGCAAAAAATAAGTTTGTTTATACAACGCGTTTGCTCTAAAGTAAAATCAAAAAAGTGTACACATATGAAAATAACTTCTCGATGGTTTTCTCAGTTGCCTAAAATTTTCAGCTAACAAGGTTCTGGGGATTCTTATTGCGTAGAACACTGATGGCATGAATTTCACTGGAATTCAGAAAATAGTACAATTTCGCTCGCACAACTCGAGCAGGAAACCGAGGAATATCTCGTCAGACTGCCGGACAGACATTTTTTTCCATTCAAAAAGTGTGTGTTTGTTGCGGAAAAAACACAAAACTTGTCACTTGTTCTCTTGCAAATTGCGTCCAGAAGCGAATCGTGAGCTGTCAAAGGGATGTTTCGAATTCCTTGCTGCCTGATGAGAGAGAGAAAAAGAGTCGGTGCAAGGACCCTCTCTGTGGTTTTCTTTTACAAGGTTACTTTTTGTAGAGTCCGTCCAGCTAAGTCGACAGTGTGTTGTCATAATTTATGGGTAAGTGAGTGTGTATCAGTGTATGTGTAAATTGCAATAGTGAGTTGTGTTTTGAAAGTATTACAAACGAGCAGTAGTAGGTCATTATTTTATCTCATTTTACCATTGAAATTAGCAACCTGAGATTTTGTGTCCACACAAATCTTTTTGTTTATGTGACATTTCGAATCTGCAACAAAAGAAGCAAAGGATTTCTCTCATTAAAATCGCGATCCGAAAATAGATATAGAGCAAAGAAATGAATACCTGACAAATAATTTATCCCAAAAATCCCTTCTCAATGGTACCCATTCGTGAATGCAGCTGGAATCAGTGGACCCTGAAAAGACAAGACATAGTTTTCCATTTGGGTAAATTTCATTGAAATGGAATTATTTAGATCGCTAAATTACACAGAGAGAGACAGAGAAAAAGCAAAACTCAAACTCAACTCGTAACCATTTATGATACAATTTTTTAAACTATTGGTTTTCGAGAGCAGCAGAAATCAAGTCCATCACCAAATTATAACAGATAACTATAAAAATTACTCAATTTTTTTTAATGAAGAATCTAATTTGTGGCTAATTTTAATTTTTGAAAAGAGTAAAATTTGTAGAGTCTATTTACAATTCTTCCTAGTTCCTAGTTAACAAAATATATTTTTACATAAAATGGAATTGCTTTAAAATTTAAAATTTGAAAATTAAGTGGATATGCTTTAACTTCTTCTCAAGGGAAATTAATTTTCAGCCGTTTAATTACAAATCCAAAAGTTGGCTTTGATCGGGAGCTTCTTTCTCAAAACTTTGAGAAAATTGCTATAAAATTTAGATTTTTTTCATTATTGCAATTTCTTGTTTAGACCAGGAAGAATTTTGCCTCATTACAAATCTGAAGGTCTACTTTTTCTACCAATTACAAATTCTACTGCTAGAAATAATTTTCATGCTTTTTTGAGAAGTAATAAGAAAGACAGAGCGTGTATGAGAGAGAGTTGAGGTGGAGCTTCACTTACTGGGTTGTAGCTGACGGGCGCGCGACTCACCGCGATGGCTTGAAAGCTGTTGGGCTGCGGGCTGGCGGCTTGAACGTAGCCCACGCTGTCGGTGCTGCCGCTGTACATGTCGATGGGCCCTGGCGAGTTGGCCGGCGGAAAGCCGCGGCTGTTGGCCGGCGAGGCTGGCGGCCCGAAGCCTTGCGGGTAGTTGTTCATCACTGTGAATTCAGCCGCACCCAAGCAACATTAGTAAGTCCCTTTTCGTTTCGTGTCCGATGTGCGAGTTAGACTTTGGGCGCGCAGGTGCCACATCATTGGGTAAACAATAACTCACTCGTCGCGCCAACGGACCCAAATGGAAAAGCACCACTTTCCCGATAAGTGCGACAAAATCCACCAAGGAATCGCGCGAAAGAGGAAACGCACTTTCTCTCCGGCGAGAAGGGAATGCCAAAAGTGACGACGAATGCAAAAATTCTGCTGGGAATCCAACTCAAGTGAGGTGAGGTGCACAAATAAAAGGAATTTGGAGAATAAATATAATTATTTCATGACAAATCTTTAAGAAGTATTATAAGATATTAAAAAACCACAAATTTTTTTAGTAAAAATTAAAAAGAAAAAAAAACAATGGAAATGAAAAATTTCTCCTTTTCAGCATAATAATAATTTTTTTGTTTTAAATTTAAATTTTAAATTCATTTAATACAAATTTTTTTAGGTGGTTTCAATTTTCACAGCAATTTTTTTTCATGTACAGAAGGAAAGCATTTATCCATTTCATTTTTGGCGATTCACAAGCGCAAATACATTTTTTCAATTGACTTATTCACCAAAAAGATTTTAGCCCTTGAATCTGTTTGTTATTGTAATAATAATAAATAAATAAATAAGCATTGCAAATCATATTCTTAATCAGTTTTCTTTAAATCTCTCATTTAACTCTAGATTTTTAAATCAAACAATTTTTCTTTTTAAATAATTAAAACAACAATCTTGACCAAAAGTAATTTTCTATACTTCTATAATTATATATAATAATTTTCATAAAGTTATGCCAATTTCATAATTTAATTTTCAATTGATTTCTGTTCATTCCAATATAAAAATCTTGATCAATAGAAATCAAACTTTTTAACCCTGAAGTTGCCTAGTAATGAAAAAACTCATTAAAAAACGAAAACGGAAAATCCTTGATGGTTTTGATTATCTAGATGAAGTCTTTAATTAAAAATCGTTTCAAGTTGGTCGGAAGAGCAATTAAAAGTTGAAGAGAGATAGTCTCGGGTGCTTGTAGTAAAAAGTTTGATGGTATGCAAATAAGTCTTAATTAATATTTCACCATCGCCGCGTGCTTGAAGCGAATTCGGTCGTTCGGTGCAACAACAATAGGACGCAAAATAAGATTAGAGAGGCGCGCGCGTGCTGACGTCAAACGCGCACGGCGTGACGCAATTCGCAAAACCGCCGGAGACCAGGAGCCGATTTTCCCAAACGCTACGTGTTTAAACAGGATTTTTGCGTTTCACCGTTCGCACATCGGACTAGAATTTATTTTTCATTTTTAGGATTGGCGCGACAAAAGCAAGGAACTTTGCGTACCTGATAACGCCTGCGTAAGAAGCGGGGTGTTGTTGTTAGGCGTGAGCTGGCCGTTGGTGATATCAACTGGGCACAGAGAGAGACAAGAACGGCACACGATTAGTAACATGGCACAAACAAAAGCGATTAAGGTGCTCAAACAGATGCACCCAATGCACACATCCAAATCGCGCACACACTCACACAACGCAATAAAGGCGGCGGCGAACGGCAGCTTATTGGCTCGCTCTGCAAACCAAGTCCAAGGCAAACACTCGCACGCTCGCCTTTGTTGCCCGACCAGCTAATTCTAGGCCTATAACTACCATAAAACCAAAACCCAACGGAAAAACGGAGAAATGTTGGAATTAAAAAAGGCAGGCAACCCGCGCGACCAAGCGACGCGGCGGGTTGCATACTCAGCTCTAAACGGTTAATTATTTCAAGAACTCACTACTCACAAGTTTTTTTTCTTTTTAATATCAACTAGTCTATTTTTTTTTTTTTTATAAATTTCATCTACAGAATTATAAAATAATTTTCTAGTGATTGACATTGAAAATATTGTTTGTAGACTGCTTTATTCTACGACTAGCACACATTTTTCTCTTCACCAATCCTAACGTAATACAGATTTCTTGAAGTACAAACGATTCGAGATAATCTACACCTAGCTTAAAAGCTCTAGACTGCTGTAAAATGTAAGATTTAAAAGAGTTACACAGTATTTTTTCCCACGAATGGGAGACTATTCTATTATCTTGGCTTACAATGAGTTTGATATCTAAAAGGAGCTGATTTGCACAGGTCAGCTCGGGAACTACGCAAATAATCCCACTTAGAATTACTAAAACACGACATATGGAAATTCGTATCTAATATTATGTTAGTGAAAAAACCACGTATACATTAATTTTCTAAATTCGAGAAACGTGGAGACATGATGAGACTAATTACCGCTGCGTCTAACACAGAGAGTGTAAAGGAAAACAGCTATGATCGATTTTCGAGAAAAAAGTACAAAACTGGCTAAAGTAAGAAAGTAAGTTCGATTAAGTTCTAAATATATGAGTAGCCAGACGGAAAAGAGAAATGGTTATTAACCCTGTTTTACGGCCAGTTGCAGTGGCTGCTGCTGGTGTTGGTGGTGGTGGTGATGGTGGTGGTGGTGACCGGCTGAGGTCGAGTTAGAGGCTGTCAACGTCACTGCCAAATACCATTTCAACCTAACTCTTTCTTTCTTTCGGTTCTCAACAACTAGCTCTCGGTATATATCCAAAGAAGAGAGGAAAACAGGTGGCGACTTTGCTTTTATTTATGTGTATGTGTCGTCCAACTTCGAATCGCGGTTCCACCGAGCGCAATTAGCAAGCTCCATTTGCGTGCAAACCAAGCAGAACATGCAGAGGGCAGGACTCGCACACACACACACACACACACACACCCACTCGTTTTTACTTGCAAACGTGTCAAAGTGCATTGAGATCTATGGGTCTCTATAGCGGGGGGTAAATCCGATATATATTATGCTACTCTACACACATACCTGCATGCATTAGGCGCGAACACAGAATGGGCCGAAAGTAGAGGGACTTGTTATTTCCGAGCGAGGGGAGGGGGAGAGAGAGAAAAGAACTTGCTCTTTCCTTCTTCTTCCTCGTATGGATTTTCCCGCAGAGTACAAATTGCAGTGCAATCGGCGTGTGTGTGCCGTCGAACAGAATTCGGAATTGGTTTCCATTCAGGCGCATGCATTAAAATCAAAACCAGACAGAGAGAGTGAAAGAGCAGCACTCGGCACAAAAGAAGCGCGTCGCACGCATGCACACTTTTTTCTGCCAAGAGTGAAATATTCCAAGGCCTATTCAATTCGAGAAAAAATTAACATATGAGCATGAATCGGCCTCAGTCAGTATTAGAGCTAACAAAAGCGCTCAAAGTTTTTTCTTTTTAATTTCTTTGGCTCCGGTCACGCGCACAAGAAGCACAAGTCGGTCGGCGCCTGCTTTCCTCTTGTCCCAATCAAGCAAGTCAATCAAAGGCTCGTTCACGTCGCGTGTGTGTCATTTATAAATTTATTCGTGTAATTGCACATTCAGTTTTTAACATTATGGTAACAACATCCATGACTCTCTTTATCATCAGTTAAACTTGAGATAAAAAGTAACAATGGTAACAAAAAATTATGAAATCGGCTCAAAATCAGCAGCGTGCTTCTTTTCCTTGGGCAACAATAAAATCGGTCGATCAGACTTTGTTTGCACAATAAATTAATATTCCATCTCCGATAATCAGAGATGAGAGATAAACAACTTGTTACTTTCTATGAACCAGATCGGGAGCCTTATCAACAAATTACAGGGGATAAAATGATTAATTTCCTCCTGATATTAACTTTGGAATGAGGAAATCTGCTTGTTTTTTTTTTTATTTATATCAAACAAATTGAGCAAAATGTAAAACTAAGCGTTGCTCTTTTCTCCGAGGTGGAGACAAACGAACGCTCAAATTTTGTGTGAATTTGCAGTTGTTGGTTTGATTGTGATGTTTGAGGAAGGGCTCACAGAGTGGTGTACACGTATTCATTTAAACAGCGTTTTTAATTATTAGTCTGCTATTGCGGCTTTCGCAAAACCCGGCGATTAAAAGCTCCCGCAAAACTGATCGAGAGTGGAAAGCCACAAAACTACACAACTGGATTTAACTCTTTTGCTAATCGTCTCGTGCTAAATAGCTTTGGTAAAAAATCTCGTCTCGATTTTCAGAACAACGATGAGGGCGTTTTTTTTTTGTAAGTTCGTTTAATTGGTAAAAACGCGCGGATCTTGTGTGTAAGTGAATATATTTAGAAGTTTTGAAAAATTGGGGGATTTGAAAGAGAGAGGCTTCTTTCTCGGTTTCACGTGTGCCCGACATTTAGATATTCGCCAAGGAGGACTCGGTTATCTGGGACCAAACCCACCACACCTGAGAAACAAAAGAAAACAGAAAATAAAATCGTCAGTTTTTTGTTTAAATATCTTCAGGTCTGCTTTTCAACTACGTTGCTCACTACTTAAGCACACATTCCTAATGTCACATTTATGAAAAGAGAGAGGAACATCGACAGGGGCCAAGACTCTCCTCCTCTTCCTCCACATAAAAATTATAGTCTCTCAGCCGAGCAGCATGGGCCCCTGTGTTTGCGACAGTTAATCAATGAACTAAGCAGGAAGCCAAATTAATTAATTGAGATTTCCACTGAGTGGGTGGTGCTACTTGATTGCTACATGATCACGTCGGGCGGCGGGAAAAGCATGCGACTATAAGTGGTGGCGGAGCAGAGAGAAACAAATAGAGAGAGAGAGAGCGAGAAAGAGCGTATGTGTGTGTGCTTTGCAAAAAACGGCCCCATCTCTGATATCCGCGATTATTTACACCAAAATTGGGTGGGGGGGGGGGGGGGAAGCCTACGTGTTAATCGGATGGAGTCTACGTGAGATTAAGAGTTACACACAGAATACGAGAGAGATCTACGCAAAACGAACATACAAAAGAGCCGCTCTCGTGAGGTGCCTAAACTCTCAACCGAGGCTTGAGGGAGCTTTCTTTCGTTACAAACATAGCGACACTAATCTCGTTGCAGCGGAGAGTGGAAGCCACGCTCGGAGGACGGCAAAATCACTTATTTTTTTTCTTCGTAAATTGCGTGTTTGTCGTTGCGATTCAATAAATAAAAGCGTAGTTTTATTCTCTGCGTTAAAAATTATTGATTAGAGGACAGATTCGTGTCCGCGCGCGCGTATATATATTTGTTCAAAGCTCGGTGAGAAACTCATTTTATTTGCCACGTCCACATTGTGGATTGGACGCGAACGTGAGTGTAAATTTTAGAAAAGATGAGAGAATTATAGAGGGAAGTGATTGCGCGCGAAATTCAAGCCCCGGCGGCTCATCGATTTATTTTAAAAACAAAGTGGAATCGGGCCTACGATTTACGACTAGAGTCTTAACTTACTTAGTACGTACGTGAGTGTGTGTGTTTCTAATGCTAGGACTCTCAAGTAGTGTGGTAACAATTGCCAAGTTACATTCGAATAATATTATTAGCTATTCACTAAGTAAGTTACAAGTTACACGCCGCGTACGGTATACTCAGCTCGCGATCAACTCGATTTCTTTTGGGCGCCGAGTATAGTGGCAAACGCGACATTATTTCTAGATTCGACCTTCAGGTTAATTAATTAAATTAGTTTTAAACTAGCACTGCGCACTACAGCGATAGAGCAGCGTTTAATTACATTATGAGAGAGATTAAAAGTACGACACAGTTTTTCGAAATTCGCGCGGGGGGCGACAATACACAATTGTAATTATGGAAGAGCTACATTCGGTGTGAGAGAAAATTTGGAAAAACCTTTTCGCTCGCGTGACATGTGGTTTCTGGCACATACACACAAATGCAGCAGTTTATCTTTGGTTTGGGTGCTCACAATTAATATTATTAAACATGGAAAAGTTAGTAGTGGGCTCAATGAATTAGTAATTGAGTTGTTGATGCGAGTAGTTAGAGACACATGATAAATTTTTCTTGAAAAAACAAAACAAAAATTAAAACACGGGGGGAGAGAGAGAAAGAGAGATTGGGTTCGTGTGTCTGCTTTTGTTGTTAAAATAGGCCACTGCGTTTTACAGAGGCAAGGTTGCCACATGCATGTTGTATAAACCCAAAGGGTCAAGCGGGTACGGGAACAACAAGTGTTGGAGGCTGCTCAGATTACCTGTGGGGTAGGGTAGCCCAAAACTCGCATATCCAGAGTAACCTCGTCCCGCGGAGTAGGCTGCAAATGCGGCTGGGAAACCTGCGGTTTCAAAAGTGCAAAATAAAAACTTTAAGATGGATTTGTACAACTAATGCTGGTCAATTCTAAAGTTACTCGAAATTATTAATCGAATTTGAGAATCAAAAGTTTCAACATACCATCAGGCAGAGCACCAATTGGCCACATGAAATCTGCAAGAGAGAAAAAGAGGCAACGATTAGAAAAGATGGCATATTTCTCGCACCAATAATTGAAAAAAATAAAAATCTCCGGAGAAAATTCAAACCCAGGACATGCCTTACATCAAAAAATGCACTCAGAAATCAAGAGTCGCAAACATCAGACGCACAAATTTTCTCCCGTCGTCTGCTAGAGAGACCAATCATCACAAAAAACGTGTGTGTTTGTGTGTCATATACGTGTGGACATACAGAGAAATTCCACCATTTAAAAACTCCAAATAAGTGGCAGTGTGTCTGTAAGTGTGTCAGTGCATGTGAACACTCTCACATTTGATGTTGCTAGAAAATGTATAATATATAATTTATGAAATATGGTCAAAGTATTGAGCTACATCTAGAGTATATAATGTAATAATTTGTAAAATTAGTAAATGCTACTTCTAATTAAGGTTCATTGAGAGGGGTTTCCATACTAACACTAGTGACAAAAACCAGAGGTTAATAATTCGTTAAACTAATCCATCACAATCGCAGTCTATATTAAGTTACATAGTTCAGCTGAGTCTAGACATTTGCTACGCACTAAACTAGCTCTAGCCTTTCTAAACTAGCCTCCTTAAGTCCACATCATTTCTTTCTTTTTTGATAAATATAAATATATATTTGTAAGAGAAAAACGTAGTTGAGGTAAGAGCAAAATTTATTCGAGTCTAATGCAAAATACATTCAATATTATATTATGTTGTCGAGATATAGGACTGCTTGAACAAAATTAGAGTTCGCCTAGTGCGCGCCAGAGAATACAATCAACTCTTTCGTTATGGAAGCAGATAGAGAGAAGCTAATAAGAGAGAGAGCACATAAATTAATTAACACTAATGGAATACAGTTACCTGCCCTGATATTTATGTTCTGTTCGCACATTAGGTGTGGTTAAATACATTAGTGACGAGAATACACTGGCTTAGCAATTCTTCAGAGAGATAATACACGCAAATTACAGTAATTATGTAATCTCTAGCTAGTTTTAATTGATTATAATGTATATTAATTAGAGAAAGAGATATAATTATGTAAGGTTAAATACAGTAGATTACAGCACTATAGCTAGTCAATGTTTGTTATACATGAGAAGTTTGACTCTTCTCACATTTTAAATACTTGAGACAAAACACAAAAACCTCTTTACCAAAATACAAATTCTCCAAAATTAAGCTAATTCGGATTAATTAAGTAGATAATTCTCGTTTTCTACATTCGGAGAGATCTAGTCATAATTAATTAAGCCTGCCATCTAGTTTCTGCACTCTGTGTGTGTTTGTGAGACACAATTTTGCGATACAAAAATAAACAATTCTCTACGCAGAATATAATATCATGACTGCTAAAGTAAAAAATATTCTCGTGTATGCGTTTCTGAGTTACAAACGCTTCTGCTTTGACATGGCTAGCCTAACCCCACTCAATGACTCGGAATGTTTGTGTATATCATTTCTTAAAAGTTAGAATTATATATTTGTTGTGAGAGCAGAGATTGATTATACATTTTCTCAACAGAGAGAGTGATCCATCACATTCAAAACTTTGGAATGGTGTATATATATAGTTTTTCACGATTTGATCGATTGACTACTAATAATATGATATTAAGCTTTGAATACATCACATGGAGAGAAAGAGATACAAACGCACGCGAGCTAATAGAACCCGCGCGCGAGTTGAAACGGATCACTTTACAACAAACACCAAACTTTTTTTGCTACTGCACGCGGCTGCCTAATAAGCTGCCAACGCGATTGGAGTATATTTGATTTATTTTATTGTGACGTGTGTCTTATAAACTAACAACGGATTTGCATGCCCTGCAAAAGCTTACTGAGAGGTGGTGGGGGAGCAGGCAATTAAATTTGTAATGGAAATTATAAAACACTCTGTGTGTTTGTTTCGCAAAATGACATGCGATTCGCCAGTGTTCAAATGTTATCAGGGGCAAATAAATTTTGCGAATGTTGGGGAGAGATAAAGCAATGCAGACCACACAAATACGCTTCACAGTAATCAATAAATGTATGGATGTATTTACAAGTATCATGCACCGCGTGTACGCGTATATGTACGTACAGATAAATGTGAAATAAATAAATATTTAAATCTACAGCGAGAGAGCAAAAAATCATCAACAACAAAACAATCATAACACATGGACCGTAAAACGTCCAAAGTGGCGCGTCGACGTTTTCGAATTCAGTCATTGATTATGGTACACTAAGCGACTACAGCTGCTGTCTAGGTAGGGTCGGTCGGAAGGGAAGAAGGATTTTTAATTCTAAGTCTCGACTTTGATATGCGATAGGCCTGCTGACTTAACCCACTACGGCTGACTACATTTTTACTTTTTGATTTGACAAGTCTTTTAAGTTTTACCGCGGAGAGAAGTAAATAGTATACATACGCGCGCGTCTAAACTAAATTTAAATTCGATCAAGTTTTTTTTTTAAGTACGCTCCGGAGACTAATCAAGGCCGCTTCGTATTAATCAGCTAACAATTGAAACCTGAACCTACAGAACTGCTACTCTTGAAATGAGAATTTTATTGATTCGTCCAAAAGGACCGCTAATTAAAATATATCAGAGAAGGCGCTTTGAATCAGGTCTTTCACGTGTCAACAAACTACAAACGCTACAGTAAAATTTGGCACTCACAGATAATCAACAATTCCTTTAGCTAAGCAACAAGCTAGAAAACTAACAACTTCCGTCGCGGCTCCCACTACTTTAGAGAATGGACTTTAAATAATATTTGAGCGCTTTGATTAAATCGCGCCCCGATTTTCAGCACGTTTATTCGTACTTTCAGTTTATCAAAAAATTCAATTTACGAAAATTAGAAGAAAATATTTATTGCAAAAAAGAGGCCTTTTTCACTAATTTGGAAAGGTGCGTGGGAAGAATTTGAGGGCGAGGTAGGGCGGGAGGGGGGTTGCGAATCAGTGCGGCCTGTGCAGGTGGGAGAGGACGGGTCAGAGGCCGACGGCCGTGGGAATGGCGTGGTACATAGCGGCGGCCGACGACACGTCCAGGCCCTGCAGACCCATCAACTCGGACATGTTGTAGGTGAGAGGGGCGGGACGGTGGTTGACGCCGGCCAGGGCGGCGGCCGCGGCCGCCAGAGCACGCTTTCCATAGGCCGCCTGTTGTTGGCCCTGCGAGACGGCGGCCGCGGCGGCGGCCGCTGCCGCCTGCACCATGTCCACGCCGTACAGGGAGGCGGCCGACTGCCGCTGGAAGGCCAGGGACATGGGGTTGTTGACAGCAGCAGAGTGCGAGGGAGGGGCGGCCGCTTGCAGGGGCTGCAGCGACGACAGGGCGGCCGCTGCGGCCGCGGCTGCCGAGTTCGAATTGTTGGCTGCGGCGGCTGCAGCCTGCAGACTGGCGGACACGCTGCTCGGGATGGTGTAGGGGGAGTAGCGGTAGGCGGCGGCGGCCGCCTGCAGCGACGAGGCGGCCGAGGCCGCCGAGGGGTTCAGCATTAGCAACTCACCGTAAGCGCCGCGGCCGGCGGCCCTCGTCTTGGCCAAGTTCGCCGGCAGCATCACCTCCTTCGGTTGTGCTTTCTTACACTCCACCTGCCACAACACAACAATCAGCTTTTCAAATTTCAACTTTTCAATTTTTTTTTCATGTTAGGAAATGTTTCTTATTATCAAATGATTCAGTAAAAATTTCAAAATTGAAATTTAAATAACAATTAAAATTGAAGTTTCCGAGCAAATTTTCACCTCTTTCTACAAACTTGTAAGAGCAAAAATACAATAATAAATATTTGCTATTACTTCATTCGCTAATAAGAGAATCAGTAAAATTGAAAGCAATTATTACACAAATGCTTCTGGTGAGAAGTAATACATTTTCCAGATGAGTCATGAAATATTTCTGCCTTCACATTTTATAATAAAAATCATTTCTAGAGGGGGCCTTTATCAAAATGATGAATTTTATCTGTGAAATAATAAAATAAAAACACTACTTTTCATTTTATAATAATAATCTTAAAATTGATGAAAGGGTTTAGGTTTGGGGCAAAAAGCTGTTTTGTGTCGTGCTTGCTCAGCAAAAGTTGAAAGCAGGAGTGCGGGGGTGATCAATAGCTGGAAGAATTTCAAATTGATAAAGCCCGAAAGTGCGCTAAAAGGCTTTCGGTATTGGATTTCGCGGCGGCGGTGGCGCCACACGTGACAAAGGGCTCGAGTTCCTTGGGCTGCTAGAAAAAGGTGTGTGTGTCTCATAAATTATTGATGTTGTACTTTACCATTTTATTGTTGATTTCATGGAAGTGAATTTCACAGACTTTATCGACTACGTCTTCGTTCTGGAAAGTGACAAAACCGAAACCTGCAACAAACAAACAACAACAACGCCGTCAGTTTTGGAATAAACAAACATAAATGTATATAAAAAAGAAAGAAAAAAAATACTAGGGGGAGCAAAAACGAGTCGGGGCTGCGGAGGGAAAGAGAAAAATATCGAGTGCCGGCGGCTGTGGAAAAAAAATGATGCGAGAGCTGCGAATTTCAGACGGAAATCGGCCTCGCGAGATCAATTTGCATGTTTTTGGCTGGCAAGGTGTTCCAGCGTCGTGTTGTATAATTCAGCGCCGACTTAACTCAGGGAGAAGGCGCGGCCAACTGCTGCTCGGGGTGTAATATCCGAGACCGAGAGACGACTTTTTGGGCCCGATAAATTTCGGCCCGCGGAATATGCAGACGCAAAAAGCGGGCGCTGCTACTTTGTTTTTCGCATCGCCAACATTGTTCTACAAACACTGCAGCGAGGACGGGTTTAGTGTTATTGCGAGCTTGCGACGAAAGAGGATTCTGTGTAAATTCTTAATTAAACCGACGGCTTGATTTGCTTGTGCGAGCAGCGAGGGTGGCGGAGTCGCGTGACTGCGCCGAATTTGCAGCGGCTGATCTCTAATTGAATGGCAAACACAACAGGAGGCCATCTGATTAGGCCGCTCGTCGTGTCCCGCCTCAATATTTCACCCGAATTTCAATTCAATTGTGCCTGACACGCCGCGTGCAATTAATTTGGTCGGCGATTCGTCTCTTTGACGAATAACCCTCGATTCGCTGCCGGCTATGAATTAGAACTTCAAATCTGACAATGCATTTTGCTCCAAATTATAAAATCCATTCAGTTAGTTTTCGTCATTAAAATGGGTATGAAATAAAGATTTGCTGATTTCAGGGCATCGAAGCCATTTTTTTTTTTTCAAAGATGCTCCGGAGATTTTCTACACAATATTTAAGTGTAAAGCTGCCTGCTAATTTTTAAATTGAAATATTTTCTAAAAGAAAAGAATCATAATTATTGAATAATAAACTTTTTTATATATAATTTTTTTTTTTAATTTGAAGGATTGCAAGAAATTATTCATTGCATAATATATCATTCATTTGAAGAATATTTTCTAGCAATTATTAAAAAGGAAATAATATATATTTGGTTGATTTAAAAGCCGTTTTAAGTTATGATATTTTTATGTTAAATATTTTCCTTTATTTTCCTTTCGGGTTGTTTTTTTGTTTGTATGTGAAAATAATTTTTATTTTAAAATTCTTATCTTCGCAATTATATTAAACAGTATAATTTTGAATGCACACAATGATGTATCTCGATGTGGAAATTATTTTTGTGATGGATCAATTTACACAATTTGCAATACGATTCCCTCTTTATCAGTCTGTTCTTAATTTATAATCAATAAATTTTTATTTTTTTAATCAATTATGCACAACTTGAAACAAATCTCATGATTCATAAATTAAATTTGCCAAACTGCCTGTTTAGTTTATTAATCGTTACAGAATATCCTCTTTAAAGATGGATAATTGGGACAATTGAGATAATGTGTGCTGTCTTGTTAGGTTGTGCGAGTGGCTGAGCAAATCCACCTGAGCAAACTGCAATTAAATCCCCATCTCGAGTCGTTGCATAATTGAATGGCAGGCTGACTGAGAGCGGGTTGGAAACCGACCGAGGTGACAATCGCGTCTATCTCTGCCTTGCTCGCTCTTGGGAGGCCAAATTTATGCAATTAGAACTGGCGACAGAGAGTTCAAAGCGGCGTCTCAGCAAAGGCCCAAGAAAATCGATCACCGATCTGGGTCAAACGAAAGACAACGTACAGCCATTTGAAATTCGCATTAAGCCGCAAACAACGTGCAGCACATTTTTTCCGCTCTCTCGCATGTATGTTTGCAAGAAAAGTTGCAGGAAGTGAGTGCAGTACCGTCAAAGCAGCCGGCGGAATAATGAACCAACTCTTTCTCCGTCGACGTTCTCATTCTAATGCACTGCGGGCGAACACCATTATCGCCGGCAAAGAGACGAGCAAATGCAAAAAAATAATGAAGACTGGAATGGTTTTAAAGCAAAAAATAAAAAAATCGTCATCTTGTTTGAAAAAAGGGGGATTCGTACACAATTTGACAAAATGCACGCCTTGTGAAAGCAACTTTTAAATTGTTGATTATTTTTATTTTTTACCAAGAATGAATTATAAAACCCACAAGCGTAGTTTTTAATTTGGTCGTAAATTTACGTTAACAATTTTGCATGCTGTCGTTGTGAGTAATGTAGGCAAAAGAGTAATGGGAAATTTTTAATTTAATCTGCAGATGCAGAAATTAGGCGGGTACATAGGAGGAAGGGCCATTTCTCTGCTGCGGCGTCCCCGTGTCTAATTTTTTATGCGGAAATTCGGCCGGCGTTTTTTGATGTTTTCATTTATCATTGGAGCGAGGCAGAGCCGCACATGTGGCAGCAGACAAGTGAATGGTGCTTTTTGAGTGGCTTTGTGCGCGCCGAGGCAAAAAGGGCCCCTGCCATCACTCACCCCCTGCCTAGCTGCACTCCTCAGCAGTTTTTTGTTGCCCTCACATGCATTACCTGCTTTTATTCCTTAATGGTTAATGTCGTCGGCCCGCAAAACAATTCGCGACTTTTTGCGTTCGATTTCGGAAGGAATTCATTTCGCTCGAAAGTTGACAAAGGGCCTGCTTTTGCTACTTTTCGCCACCGCCTTGTTCAACTCTCCTCATGCGCGAAGACGGAACTTTTGGACAGCAGTTATTTTTAGCGCAGAAAGAAGTTGACGCGCCGTCACACAAATACTATGTGGATTCCGACGCCGCCGTTTTATTTAATATTAACCAGAGGCAGATACCGGAATTCTCTCGCGGCGAAACTGAGTGAGTGAGCTGCTTTACCTTCCGCCTACTCGGTCACACAAAAACCGAAAGAAATCTGACGTTTCTCTGCACAGAAGCTTCTTCCTTAAAGGGGGTGACAACCGTCGCAAAATTAAAATGACACACTTCAGATTCTTAGCTGTAACTTTTTGAGACGATTTCAATGCTCTTTAGAAAAAAATTGTTGAAATTAATTAACTTGGAACTTAAAAATAACATGGCGTCATTATTTTAGAACTAATGAAGGCAATTCTAATGCCTTGCGTAGCCACAAAGCTGAGAAATTGTTGGTTCGAAACTTGATTTTTAAAATTAATCTTCGACACTTCATTTTATTTAATTTTTATCTCTCACTCTCTCACATGGTGGTATTTATTTTACTGTCATTGAAAAAGAAAATGGAGATTAACAAAGCAAATTAAATTTATTGAATGCATTTATGGAGTATGTATTTGGGCAGAAAATGCCCGGAGATACATTATTAAACATAAATTTGAAACTAAATTCTTATTTATTTATACATTTATTTAAAATATTATTAAAATTCAAAATTTAAAACAATGGAAGTTTTTGCTTTATTTAAAAAAAAAATGTTACAAGCTACAATCATAAATTTTCTTCTGCAGCTGGCTAACAATTATTGCTCAGTTTAAGTTTAAGCTTTTGGAATTTTCTAAATAACTCTATTCCCTCCCCCACCCTCGTTGTTGTTTATTAATATTATTTATATGATTTGTTTAATTAATTGCTCTCCATTGAAAATAATTAATTGACGGGAGGGGAATAACGACTTTTTGAGCAAACAGATTTGTCAAAAGAACAATCCTCCACAATGAGAAATTCAAAAAAATTCAAGTTTTTATTCAGCGTAAATTTCCACTAAAATATAGAATTGCTTGCGAATTTTACTTTTTCTTGCTCTTGAAAATGATCGAAAAATTTTTGCCGCACCTTCCATTTGGGAAGAAAAAAGAGATAGGTGTGATTGTGTACCTGCTCGGCATGCAAAGGCGTGGGGCGTTTATTGCTTTTGGGGCGAAAAGGCGGTTGGGCGGTTTAATTGGCAAGATTGCGCGGCTCGATCGCTGCCCGCCGCGTCTCCGAGGAGCTCTCACTCTACGTGCCGTCACAAGACCAAAAGCAAGGCCTGGTGTTTGTGCTTGTGTATGTAAATCCGCAGCTCTCTGCGGAGCCTCGCCTCTAATCATTGCCTTTGTGCGATGCAGCTCGTCTCTCGCCCGCTCGCATAAATATCACATCGCCTGCGCCTGCCTGCACACACGTATGCCAACAACTGTGTGTGCTGTTTAATCATTTTATCTCGCAGCAGTCAACACACGACCCAGAGCCGACCGACACACTAGAGAGAGAGAGAGAGAGAGAGAGAACGGCTTTTTCTCCTCCTCATCCACAACGCCGCGAATAAATTACACTCTCGACCCACTCGACGCATTTTATGCAAAGCAGGAATACATCTTGCACGCATTTTTCTTGCTCCAACTCGGTCAGAATAATGTAAGAAAATCAGAATAATTTTTTTGAGGTGCTAAAATATATATGATTTTATTTTCAACTCATTTGAGCACAACTTTCGACTTACTTGGCGCTTTTTGATTTCGAAAGTTCTAGCAAAATTCTCGCTAGTGATGATTCTATTTTGTTTTGTCCAACAATTCTTTTTTTATAAATTGTTTTCAACAATTGAATGTACACAATGTGGACAAATAAACAACAATAAAATTTTCACAGAAGGTGGTAAAAAATATATGTAAAATTGTGAATCATGAATTAATTTTCACCAGAAAAGAATTGTTCGAATAATTGCTGGAAAGTTTTTCAATTAATTTGATTAAAATTTGTGTTCATTTTAATTGGGAAGATGAAGCAGAAGTTGCAAAGTTAACCTGTGCAACTTTATTGTTACCTCAGAATTTAGAGCCGAAGCTACATTTAAACCGCGAACTTTACCTCCTGCGTCTAAATTTGGAATGTACCTTCTGCTCTACCCATATTAAAATTCAATTTGCAAGTGCCTCGGCAAGAGCAAGCGGCTTATCCGAAACGCTTTTCAATAACGCGCCGCCAGTTTTCTCACATGTTTGCGGCTTGCGTTCGCTGCATCGACAGCAGAGGATTAAAAGCGGAGAGCTGAAAATAAACACGAAACTTGTGCAACTTTGCGAATTTCTGCCATCTCACGGCTTCATCGATGCTCTTTTTTTGTTGGCGGGTGATCGATTTTATTGGCGCAATCGGATCGTACACGGCGGTGCTAAAATTTTATTTGACGACCGGCAATTGGGCTTAATTTTTATGCACTGCACCGGTCGGTCGTTAGGTGGGCCTGAAAAATTGATCAACCAGCAATATCGACGGCGGAGAGAGAACGCACGTGTAATGGTGTTGCTTTATTGCGCCAAGAAGGAATTACCGCTAACGGCTCTGCGCGCAACAATTACCGTAATTGGTCCGAAGTGGATGATTCATCGGCGGAATGAGAAATAAAAATAGGCTTTAATTTTCATGACCATCGCCGTTTCTTCGCGGCGGATTTCTCGGCACCAGTTTAGGGAGGGGGGAAATGATACTGCCGAGCACAAAGGAAGGCTGCGTGATTAATGACGCGGCGCGGGCCAAGGAGCAGTTTTCGTGTTTTGTGCAGAGAGAGAGCGAGTTTCATGCAAAACGTACAAGTGAAAAATTGCCGAGCAAGACTTTGGCTGCACCTGCTGTGGGGCTGCATGATGAATCGTGCGTTCTTGCAACCGCCAGTCTAATTTTAATAAGAAACGTTTTTAATTTCGTGGAGAGAAAAAAATGAGGATTTTTGCCCGGGATAGAAGCTAGAAGGGATTCAAATTTGACTAAGAGCTCCGGCACAAATCTAACAAAAGTTGTGCCATTCAATTATTTGTGCGAAAAGTCCGCTTCCTTTCACATTACACACAAGAGACGAATGAAATAAAGCAAAAGTTTCCCTGGCTGCTCCTTCGCAGCAGCACCGGCTTTGTGCAACCAACACTTCAAACAACTTTGCCCTGCTGCCGCCGAGGCGAATGTGATTGCATTGGACACACACACTGCCGCATTATTTTATACCCTTTCCTTTAAAACACGAGACCCTTTTCGTCTCTCAAAGACTCCGCCAAGTAATCTTGCTTTTCTGTTTTTACTTCTTCCGTTTGAAAAACGGGCTGGGATACCGTTTTGAATTTTCGTTAAATATTAAGGTGGAAAACCGAACCTGACGTGATTTAATAGAAAGGATTTAAAAATAGCTCTATTGAGGGTTCGAGCTCTGAAAGTGGATTAACATTTATTCTGACCATTTACCCTTCCAATGCCCATAAATTTATCAAAGCTAAATATTTTAAAGATTTTTTTAAGCGGAAGGACTTTTCAAATTTATTACTAACAATGTAAAAAGTTGAAATGAATGGAAATCGGGTTCTGTTTTAATTCATCAATTTTACTGATTAAGTTAAAAAAATGTTATTTGCGCTATCAGAATGAGGACTAATAATTTTAGTGAAAAGAAATTTCGCTTTTATTTAAAATTTATCACTGATTCCACATTAAAGTTGATAAGTAGATTTTTTGCTCGTTGCGAAACAACGGACGTGTCAATTGAAAAGGACAAGCAAATGTTACGAGCAGTGTAGCGAATTGAAGAGGAATCTGAATGTGAATCGACGCGAGCCAATAAATTTGATCTCGGGAGGCGGAATGTGACAAACGAGGCGGGACACGTTTTACTGCTGCCCGTCTTGTAAATACGGCTCGCTCGAATCCTTGTAAAGATTTATATTTCGCGTGACAGTGGCGGAGGCTGCAGCGACAACGCGCGCGCGTTCATCCACTTAAACTGCATCCCTCGTGGACCATCAATCTCTCCATTCGTGTATGTGCGGCTTATTATTGCCCTAGGTTAAAATGCAGCAGCGAGCAGTGCAAATAAAAAGCAGCCTGTCTCTGCACTTTAATAACTTTGTCCTTTGCAGCGAAGGACCGAGGACGGCCACAGCGTTTTTCCACCTCAACTGCAAGATTGCATTCGCGACGAGCTCTTCTCTTTTTTGCCACTATCGCCACTCTTGACAACCTCTACTTTGGCTTCAAACTGCCGAGCACAATTTATAAAGACGAGATGTTTATTGCATGAACTAAAATCATTCAGTAGAATTATAATTCTAGCTGTTTTTTCCCTGCTAAATAAGAGACGACATCAATAAAATTTGATAATTGTAGGGCATTTTTTTATAGTTTCTTTACTATTTTAGAATTTAAAATAAAATTTTCGAGATAAAAAATTAATTTTTCTACTAAATTTACTCATTAAAAAAATTGATGCAGCTTATTTAATGTTGCGCATCATAAACAACTTAGTGACTTCAATTTACAATATTTTTCCATCGATTTTTTTCTATTCAAAATTATAATAATTATAATAATATCTAAAAATACATTGAATTATTTTCTTTTAATCAGAAACAAATTAATTAATAAGTAAATTTAAACAAATTAAAATTTTGCTTTATTTTAAATGTCTAAAATTCAGTTCTCTATGTACAAAGATTTTTATCCATAACATAAAATGTATTGCTTGACGTTTAGTTTTGCTGCAATAACAGTTGGAAAATATTTCACAGAGCTATTTTATTATAAAAGTTTATGTAATGCATGTTGTGTGTTGTTCCAGATTTGTATAAATTTATATTACCGACGGAGAAATGTGAGTAAATTTGATCTCTCGAGGGCCGCGTTGCATCTCTGGTCTGCTCTGGCGGATTCAAATTAAAAAGTTTCGCCTGCAAACGGCCACGTTTATTGCATGTTTGCATGTTTTCGAGCGAAGAAGCAGCGGCAATATTTGCATCGGAGCGCGGCACCGCACCGACAAACTCCTCCGAGAGATTACATAATTTCGCAGCGCAGCAACTGCTGTGTTTTACTGCTTCGGCCTTTTTCTTCCTCTGCTCTTCTCGTTCAACCACCTCGCGCTCACCCCCAGCTGACTTTGCAATATAAAATCCAGCATCTCTCTCAGGAGCAATCCACCACACTAATTGCCCTGTTAATAGGTCAAATTAAAGCCCCTGATTAAAACCCGACGTCAAGTAGCTCTTTATATACCACTCTTTGCGAATGAAACGAAAAACTTTCCACCAGCTTTCACAGTAGAAATTTATCTCCGTCAAAACATTTGAATTTAAAAGCTCGTGATGTAAATTTGTTAAATAGAAAGATTTTTCACATTATTTAATGCATAAAATTGTCAGGAGAATTTTTTAATTTAAAGTTATTCAAATGATTTTAAAAACTGTCTCTTCAAACTTAATTTAACAAGCACAACATTTGCAAGTTTCTATCAAAATTTAACTTTTTATCGCCAATTTGTTCTATGACGTTAACATTTCACATTTTTTTAAACGTTTTATATACTTTTCTGGTTAACATAATTTTAAATATATTTTTTCCAACGATTCTTACTGGTTTTGAATTTGTGAAGCATGAAATAACTTTTTTTAATTTACTAAAATACGTATTTAATGCTAATAATAATTTTGAAATTCATATGTTTAAATTAACCCAATCATAATTCAACTGAGTTGAAAAATGTTAAATTTCATACATATAATATATTATATTAATTCCTTTGGTAAAAAAAATCCATTTTTGTAATGAAATTTGAATTTTTAGCCTCTTTATTCTGTTTAAATTTCTGTCTAAATATTTTTTGTTTTCTATTTTGGAATGAAAATAAAGTTTTTCCTTGTTTTTCTTTGTGAAGATCAATTTCAGTCAAGTCTTAACATTTTTATAATTAAAAGTTTTGCAAATATTATATTAATCGAAATAAAAAATTTCAATAAGTATAAGATTTTAATTCTACTAAATAAAAATTGAAAAATTTTTCATAGTAAAAAAATCTTTCAATCACTTTGATAGCTCGTTTAATCGCAGGTTGCATGATTTGAAGGCTTTTCTTTGACTTTCAAAAGCAAAAGTTGTGCCTGGACGGAAACGGATTCGTTTGAGGAAATTAGAGGGTTGCGGTGGCATATTTGGTCTGGCTTAGCTTTTAATTATGGCCTGGTAATTGACTCTTGCGTGTGCAGTGCCGGCTGCGGCTGCAAACCCGTCGTGTTTGCAGCGCAGGCCCTGTTAGCTTTACTAGATTATATTTCGAGTCGTCGCCGCAGGATATGAAGCTTAGAGTTTGTTGCCAGTGTATCATTCGAGACGTAAGATTGCTTGCTGCTTGCTTGCTTAATTATTCCTTCAAAAATGGATGCGCGCCACCACTGCGAGCTCAAACACTAATTTCATTTTGCGCGGCCCCTTAATTGTGTTCGCAGAGCGTGTGGGTGCCATGTGTGCCGAATGCCAAATTACGTCGGCCACGTCACGATTTCAAATCTCCTCGCGCGCTTGAGCGGACGGGAAAATGACCGTAAATTCAACAAACACCTGCACCGTTTTCCCGAAATCAGCACATGCAAATTCGCGTTTATTTTCCATTAAAAAGAAGCACTTTTCGCCGATCGAGTGGAAAAATGCTGACGCTTTTTTAAATTAACCTCTGCGCCGCCGATTTTGAACAACAAAAGCGACCCACCTACACGTTTTGTTTCGCAACATTACCCGCGCGTCATGTGCAGCCCACTTTCGGCCTCAATAATTAATTAGGAGGAAAAGTCGCGCAAATTAAATTCCATCGGGTGCTGTTTGCAGTGCACTCACCTCTATGTCTGTTGGTCTGCTTGTCAAACATCAACATTGCGTCCTCAATCTGAAACACACAGGAGCAAATAGATCAACATCCAACATATATGCAAAATAATTAACTTAAATTAAAGGGTCAAGAAAATTCACATGAATACCTATTTGCAAGACACTTCCTACGATTTTAGGAAAAAAATTTAAAAAAACATCAGCGAATTTGACAATTTTCTAAAAATCCATGTTGGAATCGCTACAAAAAATACTGTCAAGAGCTAAACTCTTTGTATTTTTGAATTTCCAAAACTCTTCCGGACGGGGGCCAAAATTATTATAAAAATTAATTTGTTAAAAAAAATTTCGAATTCCATTTCAAATTTTGTGCAAAAATTTGTTTTGGGAAAATGTACCTTTAAATAATTTTTCACGGAAAATTGTTCCTTAATAATAGAGTAATTTTTGTACTATTTTACAATGATTTCACAGCTCATGAATTATGGCTGCAGCCCGCAGCCGAAACATGATTGTTTTTTCTTTAACTGTAAACAACTCACAAATCCCATCGAGGAAAAGCCGACTTTAAATTAAAATCACCATCTTCAAGAACTGATTCATGAGAAATCAGAATATTTTCCTTTTCTCCGCAAGACGCATTGCATTTTTGATTAGCAATCATAGAGAAAAATGGCGGTGCGGTCCAAGTTTGGTGCGAAGCCAATAAAAGTTGCAAGACCCACCACCGGCAATAAAATTTTCATTATGAAGTTTGACCTAATGAGAGGGAGGGCCAGTGCTCCCTGGCCGGCTTTGGCACTTTTACGGCGGCGGCTATCGCTTTTACGAGGCCTTTTTATGAAATAGCGCCGCACGTCAGCCGGCAAATCCCGGGGGGATGCATTACACGCACGTAAAGAGAACAAGCAGATGATGATTTCATGCGTCGAGCCAACCGACCTCTGACCGCCGCCGGCCGACGCGCGTGCCGCCAAAAAAGGCCCCCTCGCAATTCACACAAAGCCGGAAAGAAGGATCTGCACAAATCGCGCGAGGCACTTTACACAAAGAATTTCCAAGTTAGGGCGGAAATTAGAAAGATACTCTGAAATTTCATCCCCCTTGTTCTGAAAGGGTTGAAAATTTATACATTTCCTTCCTTTGCATCATCTTGAAATTTTTATTAAACGCCCTCGCAGCATCCCTGTTAAATTGAGCGAATGCTTATGCGCGCAACCCTTCTTCTCCTTTTGGCAGATAGCAAAGTGACGACGGCTGCATTTTTCCTTTGCCCGCCGCCGCCGCCGTCGTTATCAAAGCCGTAAACGGAGCCCGAGGGGCCGCCCCCAGAGTCAAGGTTAAAAATTTCAATTTGCCGAAAGGCTTGGGAGAGAGAAAAGGCCAGGTTGTTGAGTCGTTGGGAATCGTCAAATTAAATTATGTACTGAATAAAGTGGGTCGTAAAAACTATTACTATTTCTCAGGTCTCTCAGCGACTCTCTCGACAGAGAAAGCGACAATTTACAAAAGCTCCTAACGTATGTGCTGCGAGCGAACATTATTGTCAGTCAAAAGTGCCGCTGCTCTTGCTCGCAATGGTGCGGGCGTGAAATATGAAGGGGGTGGCGGGGAGGAGGTTTGGCACCGTTCTATATAAATTCACTCTAGCAAAGTGTTTTACAGCAACGGAGGCGCTACAAGCAACACACACACATCGCTGCAGGAGATAAAACTCGCTGGGAAATAAGCCCCAAAACAGTTTACGATGAATTCTACTGCCGCCGAGACTTTTCCCTTTTTATCTCTGCTCCGCGCTGCTACATATTCAAGCCGTAAATACTATATAGTGAGAGCATAAAAATAAAATCGATTCCCTTCAACCTCTTTCGCAGAAGAAAAAGGCAAATCGGGACCGGAATCGAAGCTTTTCCGCCTGCACCACTCTCTTCGACATTTTGCAAATGATTCAAACGAAAACCCTTCCTGCGATCTGATTTTGAAAATAAAACAATTTCTGCTCCCCAAATTGTTCAAACGAAAGGAAAACTGGAAATCCGCTCCATAAGGTGCTTTGAGGTGCACGCTGGAAATCGGCTTTGTAATGGAAGAGCTGGGAGATGATTGAAACAGCACAGTAAAAATTCAAAGGCAATAAAAAGAAGACCTCCCTTGCCGAGTGCAGAAAGGCAATATTTCAATTCGGACGTTAAAATTACGCCCCTCTTTCAATCTCGATCGGCTTTTTATGGACTCGGCTACTCTCGCGAAAAGAAACAGCTTGAAACAGACGGAGCTTTCTCGTTCTTTCTCTTCCTCTCACGTATGCGACGGCTATTAACGACATTTAGCGACTAGGTGAATACTAACTGCGAGCAAAAGCTCTTGCCAAAGTTGAACGTGCCACGGCAGCCCTCGGGGCAGTGCAAAATTGCAGCCAGCCACATTCCGCACACAACTTCCTTGCGTACCAAACAATTTTCTAATTTGCAAAGTTTTTTGGGGCGCCTGCATAATTTCTAATAATCGACGCAAAAACTTTCGCTGCTCTCTCGGTGGGGTTCGTTTCCGTTTGATGGAATCAAAACGACTGGCAAGTTTAAAATATATCAAGTAATTATAAACTTTGCAGCGTTAGTTCAGTATTTTGCTTTAAAAGTGAATTATGCTTTTACAGATATACAAGAGGAAAACAACATGAAGTTTTGGAATAATCTTATGTTAAGTATATCTTCCCTGTGAGGAAATCTAAAACTAGATTTGTGACCAAAATCCCTGGGGTTGCCTCATAATTTGTTTGAAAAGTTGAATAAAATTAAAAATTCAGCACTTTCATATTAGCTGCATTTGGGATTATTTTTTTTTTAATTCAACTGAAAAAAAAATTAATGACATAAACAGGAATTGTTGAACAAATCGCCACTATCAAGAATTTTTTATTTAAGTTCAGGTTGGTTAAATGCACCTATTAAGTATGAATTATTATAGCAATAAAATAATATTAATAACTTTTTAATAATATTACTTAGCTTACAAGTAATATTATGTAGTTTCTTATCCTTTCTAATTTATTTAAATCTTCCACAGAATCTCCTTTTTCGTCACTGCCCTTGCGAAGGCCAAGCAGCTCGTTCGGTGAATGCATATTCAAGCGAAAAGCGTAATTTAGATTGCACGTGTGGCAGGCGAGGGAGAGGAAAAGAGAAAAAACAGGCCCATTACCTCTCTCGGCGGCGGAGTGTGCTGCGGTTTCAAATGTGTTTGGAGGTGTTTGTGTTTTGCGTGTATATTGTGTACCTGCTGCGGAGGCAAAGAAAGGGCGTCCGCGCAAGATTTACTCTTGCCACGTTAATCATTTTTACGACCGCGCCATTGTTCAAAACGCACTATTTATGGGTATTATTCTAATTGAACCGCGGCAACACCGGCACGAACGCGCATTATTTCCAGGTTTCATTGTGTCCCCGCGATAAGGGCTGAGAGTGCTGCAGCGCAAAAATGGGCACCAATTCCAAGAAAATGCTGATGGCGGCTTTTAGCCTCTTTTTGAATATTTCATCGTCCATTTGCGAGAACCAAGTGGTGCGCAGGCTTTCAATCTTAAGAAAAGAATCAAAACGAAAAGTATCATAGATGTTTTGATATTCTATAAAATTTAAACAACTTTCAACGTTTGCTTCGCAGGTTGCATACATTCTACAGTTTTCTCCCTCCGTATGGCCAAATCGATGAAGAGTTTTGCACGTTTCCTTGTTATTTCTCGAGATTCAAAGAAAAACGTAAAGCTTTCTTTGTGTTCTCGAAAAGAAAGTTGAGCCAAGCATGAAATAGTTTTGGCTTTGGGAATATTTGCACTCGCTTGGTTTTTTTTCATTCGTATAGGTGAGCGAATCGAAACAAAGGTGGATTCGTTGGACTCGGTTTGCAAATGTCAACATTTGGGGAACGTTTTCGCCCCTGCAGATTATGCACACACGCTCTCGTCCTTTGAGAACGGCGGGCGGGCGCGTGCTTTGCTGCTTTTCCATCTGCAAATACATGCCGAGCGTGAAAGAAATCGAAACGTGATTTCGCAGCTCTCGATTTCGCTTTTATTTCCGAAGGCTGATTTCTATCTGGCACGCATGATAAGGTGGAAGCAGGTAGTTGGCAAAGGAGGGAGATTGCTTGAGGAGCCGCCGCGTGGCGTGCAAAGAGCGAACGAAACCGCCTCTTGGGGGAAGCGAGCGAGGCCTCGAGCTCTGATGGAAAATTAGACTTGGTAATGTTGTCCCAGGGAGCGGCGATATCAAGTGCAGCAGGCAGCGCCAAACCGCCCCCTGCAGCTCCTCAATTACCAAACCCAAATTCGCTGCCGCCGCCGCCGCCGTCTTATTATTTTAAGCGACTTTTTACGGCGGCGACACGTCATTAAGGCACTTCCTGCCGCTGCTTCTCTTCGCAGCCCCTATTAATTTCATGCAGATTATCGCGCAGGTGCTGCCGAAAGTAATTTTTCTTTCTTGGACTTGCAAGCCAGCCCCTCCTCCCTTTCATCTTTCGCCGAAACGAGCTGCGATTTAATGCCCGCTCGTAAAATTCGGCACCGTGCCGTGAAATCCCTCCAGTATAGGATTCACACATCCGAACCCTTTACAATTTTTCGATAACGCAAGATTCAGTGTGCGAACGGTATGTTTTTCCGGACGATAGTGGCGGGAAATGAGCGCACAGCAGCTATTAAATTGTATTATTTCCTTATATTTTATATTTATTTCTCATTATACTTTTAATTTATAATGCCATAGTTTTAAACCTGTTCTAGTTCTTAAAAATTTTTATTTCAAATTTGGATTAGTGACAGGACTCACTTGGATTCAAAACAAAGCGGCGTTAAAGATTAAAATCCAAAGGGTGTTAACTTTCAGAAGGTCAAAATCTCTAAGGAAGAAAATCTGGAAGGCTTTTGAGTAACTTATGCAATTGTGTGTTTTCCACCATCTTCCAAAATGGTAAATAAATGAACCTTTTCAGTCCATTTCCACTCACCTGATAAGTTAAATTGAAATTGGCTCAAAATAATAATTGCACGTCAATCCA